ACGAAAACTGAATTATTATATTTTCTAATATAGAAATCGACTTCGTTTTAATTATACTTATGTAAATAATTCATCATAATAAATATTGACATAGCGATTGCATTGAATAATTAATTTTCCATTTATTTCAAACGTCCTTCTCGAGCTGGAAGCATTTCACGATAAAATAGAAGAATTTCAAGAAGAGAAACTCGAATTTCTCCCAATTTTCATAGTAAAATATGAGCGAGACACGAATAAATAAGATGGAATTAAATCTGGAAGAATGCGAGGTTTTCTTCCAAGATTGGAAGCCTTTGCTGAAGAGTATGAGTATTTTGGGGATGAAATTCGGTGAAAACAAGCTTACTATCGGTAAAATAATCAACTTCATTGCCATGAATTTCTATATTTTCTATATTCTATATGGCTTCATCGCAAATTTCGAAGGTACGTGGTCGATGGATCTTGTTTTACAATGGCTTCTGATTATTTTAATTTCAGTAACAACGGAAATTTCACTTTATTATTTCCACTTATCTAAATACAGAGTAGTTAAAGAAATATCAGAATTGTATAAAAAGAATTTAGTCGGAAGATTCAATAGAAAGCAACGTAAAATCCTCCTCCTAAAGGTGATTCTTGTATGGTTGGATGTCCTCATTGCATATTGCTTTATTATAATTTTCGAAATAACTGACGAATCCGACTTGAGGAAATTGCATTCATTGTTTGGAATAGAAATATCAGAAAATATTTCGTGCATAATTATGATTATATCTGAAATAATCCATGTGATATTCTTCATATTGCCACAGTATCACTTCTTTCTGTATTTCTCATCTCTGTGTAGTTTAATCGAAAATTCCATTGATGTAATATCAGGAAGAATCGTAAACAATGAAGATCCTTCAGAACAAATTCTTCCTATTCCTCAAACTTATATGACAATTAAGAAAATGGCAGACGTAATTGAAGAAATATTCTCTCCCATGTTGTTATATTGGACGATTACGGTGGGATTAACTCTTGCTCTAAGTCTTTGTGATTTCTTTGTCCCTCCCTTCTCCTTTAAAGTGGAATATTTTGTATTTTTTCTTGGAGTTGCGCTCTTCCAGTTCTTCCTCTTTAGCCAAATTTGCATTTCTTCTTCGCATGTAACCGAAGCGGCCTTGAAAATTTCAACAGTAATGTACGAAAGTTCGTTCAATTGTAGAGAGGAATCTGCACAAAGGTTGGCAGTTCGATTTTCATCAAAATGTCTGGAAGAACTACCTTCTTTCACTGCGTGGAACATCTTTGTAGTGAATCGACAACTCCTTTTTACAATTATTGGAGTGGTCATCACTTACACCATTGCATCTACACAATTTGGAAGCATCAAAAATGTATAACTGCTCTAAAACACTATAAGTTCAGTAAATACATAAAATCTCAACATGAATTCAAATTAAACTGGAAATTCTCCAACACCTGATGCATATTGATACATCTCCCTGATGATTTTGTGGTATTGCACTTAATATTTTTAATTGTAAAAGAATGAAAGATTCTGTAATCAAAATTAAATCAAATTTCTGAAAATTCATTCATTGTTCCTTATTTCTAATTTATATTCAAACAAAGATCTTTATGTAAATTTAGCAAAAGCATTATTCCGTTAAACAATTGCTTGATCAACAGGACACACCAGCCCGACTGTGTGACTGGCCAAAATTATGCAAAGTTATGGGTGAACTTGAGCCGTAAGGATCCTATTGAATCAAATTGATGGTACGAGGTAATGCAACACATGGGTGATCTGCCAAAAGGTGCTTTCAGGAATGCCATTTGTAGGAAACTGGCTCTATTTAGGTATTAGACACATGAAGGAAAACCAGAAATATCATGCAGTCAACCTGCTGGTCAGATGGGAACCCATGACGAGTGTTCAAGATTTTTATTCGCTTGATCACTGGTGTGGGCTTGACTATTGTGAAAATTTCACAGAAAGTATCATGAGAAATAAAAATCAATAAAGAAATTTTATAACAGATGTAGTCAAGATGTTTCAACATTACACATACATCATAAATATCACAAAAGATGCCATATTTGACTATTGATAACCCATATGGATATGGTTATCTTCTGCTTCCATTTATGAAGTACTGTAAATATTTTTACTTGTTTACATTGCATTCTCCAAAATAATTACTGTTTAAAAGAAATTTTAAACTAATAAAATTTAAGACAAGACAATCAAAAACTGCTTTTGATGGGCCTGCCAATATGCATTCTATTGTAGAGAAATTAAATCAGATGCTTACCTGTCAATTTTCATAATCAGCAACTACTTTGTAGTTTCTTGTAGCAGTCACCACTTATATTACAGAACTATCATCAGATTTCCATTTCTGACAAGAAATGTTTTACATTCTTTTTTGTGGAGCAGTCTGCAACTTATAATAAAAGATACTGATTAATTGATTAAATACTGAGGAATCAAGTTGCATGATTACAATTATGTGTTATGGGAGAGCATGATTCGCAATGGGATTGACCAGCATGGTTGAGGGATACAGAAATGATGTGCCTGTGTACAGCCTAAGGTAAGTTATGAGAGTCAGACTTGGGTTCGAACCGTCTGAACTTCCTTAGCTTACCACGGCCAACCATAGAATGACCCATCTAGTACTTCAATGTGTAATGGTAAATGGTACTTATAGCATACAGTTTCTTCCACACAAATTTCAGAATATCATAAATTCACATAATTTGCTGATTTAATTTATATAATACATGTAAAAATTATGATTGATAATAGAAAATTATTCCATAATTTTGCTTCATTCTGTTTAAAAAGCATTAAGAAACAATGGAATTGGCTTTAGTGCCTTGAATAAAGACACTAAGGCCATTTCATTTTTCAAAGGTCCCAGCATATCTGGGACCAACACACCCCCAACATGGTGTGTTGGTTCCAGATATGCTGGGACCTTCATGGAGTTTTTCAAACCATCCACATTTAAACCCAGGTCCTCAACAACAGTAGGTTGATACCATAACTGCTTCAACCATTGACAAGCTCATAAGCTATGTTGTAACTCTTAATTTTCACTACTCAAATCATTGGGGTCACCACCATATTTGCACGGAGATCAGCTAGAACTTACCTTATATCAAGAAAGATGTTACCTAGTTCTGTTAAAATAAGTGGATAACCCAATGGTTTCCAACTTTTTTGATTCTAGGCACCTTTGCTAAATGCAGATTTTCCCAAGGTGCCCTATGTCAAATTCCAACAAGTACATTATACAAATTCTAACATTATAAAAATTTTATAACATTTTGTGATGCCCCCGTGAGGAAGCCGCGGTACCCTAGTGCACACTTTGGGAACCACTGGGATAACCACTAGTGTTGTGAGGGTACCAAAATCAAATATAATCTCAATCATGCTGATTTCGATATGAGGTTTGAATGTATAATCATTTTGCATTTCTCACTCCTAACTGACTCTCTTGTGATTAATTTGTTAGCATAAAACACAGCACAGGCTTCGTAGCAACCCCAATTTTGCCTCATTACAAATGGGGCTATCCTACAACGGAGTCAGCCAAATGATGACAATCCAACGTATTGAAACGCTCCCAAAGTTGCAATTTGGTTTCGCAACTTCGGATCCTTCCGAGCATCTGGCACGTGTTTTTGAAAACTATCTACTGTTGGTCAATCACACCTGCAGTACAGACTAAAGTATATAGTATGGCCCATTACATGCAGGTGCTCTCACGCAAATACTCGATCATTTGCATTATTGGCAGTTAGAAGTAAGTTGGTCTTAAAAAACAAAAAAGAAAGGAATTCCATAATGATGCATACTCCAATTTAACATTTAATGCCAGTATCTAGCAATAACATTTACATTATTCTACATTACAACAATAGCTCAAAAAACAATTATACAATTTTCAAATTAAACAATGTAGGAGAGGGAACAAGAAGTAAAGGCAAGTCACAATTAATAATATGAATTTTTAGGATAAACATGAACTGTTTTTACTTGTGTAAAACAAAAAATAACTTGAAATTCTCCTACTGTAAACAAAATGAATACAAGTTTTCACACATATTTACAATACAGATATATGCACATTATATCTAGTACAATTTACACAAGCATTAAGTATATACAGTATATTTTTTTCTTGTTATATTAATTCTATAACTCTGATGTTTCAGAAAATTGGCAATTCAGAACAGACAGAAGTTTTCTTTTTTATTCTATCCTTTCGTTGCATTTTATTCCTTTGAACGGAACGGATTTTATGCTGATCTATCTCTAAAACTCATCTTTTGAATGATAAAACGGTTCCTTTTAATTTTAAAATAACTAAAATTGTCAAATGTATGTTATTTAGTGAGTAATTTTGTTTACTAATGCAGCAAAATGCTGATTCTAACCCAGAAAATGAGGATAAAAGTTGCTCGTAACATAGAAAAACTATTAACTAAGCAATACCATTTACATTCGCATGTGATAAATAGGTGCCTAAAGCGCTCGTCACACTGCGAAACAAAGAAATGGCATGGCTACTAAAAATCTAAAAATGGTTTGTATAATATAACACTGATTGAATTGAGTTTTACTGTATTATTCTAATGGAAGAGGTCTTGAGAAAATGCAAATTGTTTCTTTCACAATTTAAATATCCCTGAAGAAAATATTGAAATAATAATCACAAATTATATATTTAAATTTAAGCCTCAAATCAACTAACCGATACACCTTACAAAATTAAAAATTCATGTACCTAAAATCCATTACATAGCGTCTAAAATGATATATTTTAAAATATAATCAGTGTTTAAACTAATTTGCTAAAAGAAAATGATTTGTGTGCATCGAAAAGAAGATATCTTAAGTGATATAAGCCCGATAATCTATCTTAAAAGACACCTAATTCCTATTTCTAATACTCGAGTCCGCTAAAACTCGTTCACAACTCCCAATATATATATATATCAATATCTATCAATTTTTTTTTTTTTTTGTGAAACACCTAGAACGACTATAATATAAGAAATTGTGTGCTCTCTGCAGGGCTACCGAGAAAATTTGCAATATAAATCAAAACCAAAAAATATATACACACTTGATAGTGCATCTATATTTACATAATGATTAAAGTAGTAGAAAAATTTTTAAATTAGACCATCCCCATGCTAAATATAACCCTGAAACTGCACATTATTGTAACGGCAGTATTTGGTAACGTGAAGCACAAAAGCACCTGCAAAATTACGCATGCTTTCGTTATATGGTTCTATAAATATTTATTTTATTATATTTCTATGTTATCAAGAAGCTTTCCGAAACATACTTTTATTTTTCATGACATGAGCATCGAAAAATTGTATTCTTTCTATATAATTATTGATTAAATTTTAAGAGGATATAGCATTTTTACTATATACTCTACACTATGTTTAATATTTTACTATTTAACATGAACATTTAGCTAAATGAGATGTAGGTCCTTCCAAGAGGTCTAAAGTAGCCAAAATTGCCTGGATGTTAAAGTGAATCTGCAATAATTTCATACAGAATTAACACCGTTACAACAATGTGTAGTTTATATAAAGTGATATAAAATTAAAATGCCCACTAGAAACATTTGCCAATCTCACGACATTATTAGAAAATATGAAAATTCTGAATCAGATATCGTTTCTTCTTATAAATCTTTTAAAATTTTACTAGAATTGCTGTAATTTAAACTTTAAATAGCACAGTAAACCATAATAAAGGTCTAAGTAAATGTAGCCTGAATTGATAACTAGTTCAAGGATCAACAGTCTTTGCCACAGACGAAACGACTTACAAGAAAGAGTTGTACAAATTTTAAATACGAAATTGCATGACTTGACTTGAAACTGAAGATTTTGATCCTTGCTCTAGTATGCAGTTTTCATTTTACTCTTTTATTTATTTATTTTTTTTTTTAACTTTTTTTTTTTAAATTTTGTAGGTCACGATTGTGACTCTTCAGCATTGATATAATTAATAATTTGTTTACTAAAATACTTAAACATTGAAAAAAAAAACCTTAAAAAATAATACGTAATCAAAACATAAAATGAATTTTGTCAAGAATTAGTTTCAAGTTATATGGGGTGATCAAACGAAAGGAAAACTCGCGAGTATTAGCAGAGGAGAGTTTGGAAATGCTACAAACTGAAGGTAGCCAAACTCTTCGCACTATTTCATGGGAGTCCTACCTTTGTTTGATCGCCCATTATTTGTAATCACATAACTACAAGTATAGAAGAAATTCATAATAAGTACTTACTAAACTCTAAATAAAATGCAATGTAACTGTTTCACATGAAAGTAAATGTAACAAATGAGTACCTGACATGAAATACAGTAAGTATCTACAGAAACATATATAAAAACTATCAAATAAAAAGTTATAAACAATCAATAAGTTCCCTTTTGGTTTGTCTTAAAAGTTATAAAGTTTTTATGATAAAAATAGTAAAAATCATCAATACAGCTAAAGACGGGATATAAATTAAAAGGCTGTAATTTAATGTCTGTGGAACGTAATTAAATCTTACGAAAAAAATTAAATTAGAAAAGTGATCACAATTAAAAACTCAAGTTTGACTATATACAAAATATTGCTAAATATATACAGATGTAATAAAATTAACCGAATGTTCATACTTTCCAAAACTATTTACAGGATGTGCACTACGCTGTCACCTGTCAATGTAATTCTAGACATACACTTAACACAAATTAAGTTAATCTTGCATCCACAAAAGGACTTGACACGTAACAGACTTAATCACCGAGAGTGTTAGTACCCCAGATCCACATGGATTAAGTTTTCGCTAGAAGAAACACGATTTTTTTGAAAATCAGAGAAGTCAGTTTGTTGCACCCTCATCGACTGGCACTCGTAGACAACGGCCAGTCATTCTCGCTTGCAATTTGGCATCGGGAAGCACTCCGGTATAATTAGTATATCTCCTTAAATCATTTCAAAATGCCACTACAGTAATTTGAAAAACTGTTTGCTATTGCCTAATACTCTCTCTATCACAAAATTTTGTCCAGGCTTACTTCTGCAATTGCCCAGTTTATCTGGGGAAACTAAAGCTTTTGACTGAGTGAGTAAAGATATCATTATATTAAACACTTGTTTGCATCTGTGTGCAAATTTCATAACCAAATAATGACATTTTGGTAATTTTACATTACACGCAATCTTTCGTTCCTAAAATCACAATCATTACAACTCGTCTCCGACAATAAAATTAAGAACTGAACGTGTATAAAGGTTGTGGATTGTTAAGCAATAAATCACTTGCTTAACATGTCTAAAAGATATAGACAAGGCTACAAAGATATAAATAAAACTACTATTTACAAAACTTTATAACCAAGCACTGGTGTAATTAAATTAAATTAAATTCTTTTCAGTTTCAGTGAAAATACTAAACCGATAAAAAAGTTAAAACAGAGTTTCAAACAAATGTTAGCAACGCTCACCTTAAAACTTTGCTATAAAATATTTTTAACAAAAATTAATTACAATTGAATGTGAAAATTTTTCAACTCCCAAATATGGTATAAAAATATACAAATGATAAATTGTGTTAATTATTATACAAAAAAAATACTGTATAAAATTAAAAAAAAATCAGAAAGTGTTTACTACAAAGTATATCTTTTAGTATTGGCACACTGGACTGCATGACATTAAGCAGCACAAAACATCCATTTGATAAACTGTTAACATTATCTATTCAATTTTAAAAATATAGATGAAAATTCTTCATTTTTAATTATTAGAATTTGAATAAATTTGTAAAAATATAGTTAAATAAAACAATTCTCTTATAGGAACTATGAAACACTGAGATAAAAATAATTTTCTTACATTCTAGATGATCAAACTGTAAATAACTCTCGAATGCATTTCTATTAATTACATATTTTTTGACACACGAAAATGAAAATAAAAATATTGAAATTTCCGTTAATTAAATTACAAAATTTATCCTTGATAATCCAATCTTCCGACAATGTCTCGGACAGTTGAAATTAGGTTCTCGTGATCTTGAGGATTATCGAGTATCATCGAATGTAACTTTGTCATGTACATGTCAATTGTCTCGATGGTGGGAACTTCGTTTGTACCTAAAATAAAAGATTTAATAGTGGTAATTAACACTAATGTTTTGTGAAGTAAAATCAAAAATAAACTACAGAAAACTGAGCGAGCTAGTGGCATCACTTTCTTGTAACTCCAATCTAAGCTAGCGTACAAATATCATTTGTAATCCATCTCCATCATGAGTAGTGGATCAAGAAATTTGTGTAATAGTGTCAGAGAAAGTTTGCAATAAGAAACGTGCATCTAGAGCAGCAAGCTACTATGGTATTTCCTTGATTAAACCTGGGGGTTTATTTTTAAAATGTAATATACATATATCCCAAGTTTATTTGACAACCTGGGATTTCTTGAGGCCAAGATTTAATACCTTGCAACTCTCCTGTTGTAAGGTATTAAACCAGGCCTTGGAGATAAGTGGGTAAAAACTAAAAGAACTATCTTAATTATCTTAATTTACAGGCCATTTATTTATGTCTTATTTTCATACTGTTGTTGAAATCAGAATCTTGATTACCATCTTCTGAAGCAAACTTGGCCATCTGCCAGACTGCCAAGGTAATTAAGACCTCACTCTTTGGTTCTGGAGACTCAGAATTGAATACAGGAGGGCAGGAAAAACCCCAAGAATTTTTTGAGAGTGATCTTTCCCAGATTTGTCAATTTCCATTCCTCACTACCCAACTGCAGGCCTGGCCAAACAGTAATGGGCTTTAAAAAAAGACCTTCTTATTGCTCACATGATGGAGAGTGTAAACAAACAAAAAAAATCTCTCATTCTAAACTATATTATCCTATACAGTGCAATACTTCAACATGTTTCCCATGCTTTTCAACCTGTGGTTTATTTAAACAGCACCTTCATTCCTTCAAACTCATTTGAAGACCAAGGTTTAATCAAGGAAATATGGTATTTCATACAATTTATGTGAGAGTTAACAAACCATTCACAAAAACTTTCATCATCGTGAAGTATGTATGTCAAAAACAAAGAAAAAAAACTCAAAACCTTAATGTTAAACATAAAGTTATGAGTGACACAGGCATCCATAGTCAATAAATATCTGGCTAAGAAGGGAAAGTACTTCCTTAGCCTCCTTATTTCTTGATATCAATCCCACAAACTTTTATTTGTTCCTTAAAATAGGTTCTAATCATTAGTAGAGGAGGAAAACACAGCAAAAAAGACCCTTAAAAACAAAAAAAAAGACTTCCAGGACTGCTTTGACAAGAAATTTGAATGCCAACAAAAGAAAGAACATACTTTGAATAGGTTATGATGTAAATGTTTCAGTGTGTTGTGTAATAAAATCTGTTCCAAAAGTTTGGTTCATTTTTGACTCTACTCTATATGAAAAATAACTATAAAATAAATTACCAGGTAAAGGTATATTGGAGAAACTGTCAGCCAATGTAGATCTCAGTTCTCCCAAATGTTGCTGCAAGGCATTGCTGTTGTTGCGTTGTTGGAGTGTCTCAACTTCTAATTTTTCAATTGCCATTTTCATATTTTCAATATGTTTACTCAGTATCGCATTTTGTTCTTCGTATTCCGTGTTCGATTTTCTCAACTGTCGCAATTCTGCTTCTCTAGCTATGGTCGAAAATATATAATAAATCTTATGAAATTTTAGAGTTTTCATCTATAAAACTGAATGTTATAAGTCCAAATACCTTTGTTGTGATCCAGGAATTCTTCTGTAAATATTGGAATATCGAATCCTGGAATATCTTCGTCATGACCACCTTCAGGATTTAACATCTATAATTATTAAATCTATTTGTCACAGAGATATAAAGGCAAAAACGTAAAGAATCAAATTATATATTGATGAATAACCTCGATTGTTGAGGACTGATAAGAGTAACTTCCTTGAGTATCATCCATCATATCTATAAATAAAAAAAGAAAACAAAAATATGGAAAATATATAGTTAGAATCATATAAAATTTTAGCTTATATGCTAGAGAACTTAAATGAAATTAATTGGATTCTTTGCAGATATGAATTCTGCTCTATTTTACATTGAGAATCTTTTTTTTATTCAGAATTTTAACATGAAAAATGGAAAAATAGGATAAAACCAATTGTAAAAAGGTATTACTCATATACTGTATAATAATTTAAGATCCTATGCAAAATTTTCAAAAAAATCAAGAAAATTTTCATTAAATATGAGCACTTAACTAAATGAAAGTACTGAACCATGCTTTGTTTGTTAGTAGCATAGAACTTGTCTAATCTACTATTATAAACTGTAAAATACTTTATAAATTAGAGAAAGTTTAAACAAGGCTAATGTTTTTGACCCAGTTAATGGGCAATTTTCATGCATGGATAGTTGAAGGTGGACTGCCAGTATCAGAAAACGAAGATGGGATAGACCCCACTAGAGTAAAAGTGGGAAACTATGATGGCATTGGCTGATGCAAAAGACTAAGGAGATATTGCCAGTAAGGGAAGTTCTTGTCACTGCTGTAAACTGTAAAAGTATTAGACTCAAAACTTTTGAAAAGATCAATGTATTCAATAATAATAGAGTAAAATTTATATAAAACAATTATCTGATTCAAAATAGAGGCTTATAAAGTTCTATTTTGCCTTATAGTATTAGTATTAGAATTAAGTATTCATATTTTATGGGATTATTCTTTCTAGTATCTATTCTCTTGACATTTGTCTGTCTGTCAAATTTTCAATGTTCTTTCATCATAACTGATTATAATGCAATATTTATAAAATTATTTTCTACATTTTCTTACAGAAAAAAATTTTATTAAATTATATTCCATTATAATCAGGCAATAGTGTCATACTTTGTCTTGCATTCATAGAATACATGATAGAATCCCTATAGGTTTAATACTAAATTGTACACTAGCATCCAAAATTAAAGTCCAAAAATCATTTTCAAAAAATAAATAAAATCCATTTAATAGAATTTATTGAAATTTAGTAATACATAATTAATGAAAATATAGAAACATATAGTCAAAAACTGAAGATATTACAACATTTAATGTTACATGTAACAGTAAGTCATTTGATAAATTGTGTCATTCCAAACCGAGATGTCAGACGCATCCCTCGTGATCACGTTGCATGATTTAGATTAGACAGCAAGCAACAAATTGATTTCTTCAACAAAATAGCTCATAAAAAGTTCTCAGGAGATGACAAGTGGCACAGATCTTGTAAGATACTGCAGGCATGCTCTGTCGGATTCACAGGGATCTAAATGCTCAACCCATCTTTCAATATCCTCACTTTCAAGGTGAACAAGTTGAGCCTTACATTGACAAACATTACTAGTCAGAAAAAAAGCACAAAACCAACAGAATCTTGAAAAACTTTACAAAAGATTTCATCCTTACAGTGTCAAGTAATCAGATTATCTTTTGAAAATATACAGAATAGCCTGCACTCCCTTCAGCATGTTATTATTGCAGACAATCTCACGAATTCAATGCTATAATTCTCGAATTACTTGTGGATGTATATTCAAGTTGCTGGATAGACAAACTTGAGAATGAACTACTTTCAATCTTCCTGCAGCACTACACCTTACTAAATCAGGTAAATCCATATCAGACACTGTTAATAATTTTTATTGACAAGAAATGCCTTTCACTTCCATCTTCAACAGTGACTCTCATTTTCTACTGAATTTTAAGTCAGTTAATTAGTAAGTTGCAGAGGTTATTTTCAAATTTAAATCGTAGAAGTGAATCAAAATTAGTGTGTGGAATAAATATCCTAAAATCTTGTTAAATTATTTATATTTTTTCTTGTAAAAACTGACTTTCATACTTTAATTTTGGATACTTTGATTATAATATTCTGTATTTTCAAATACAGGACAAAAATAAGTAAGTAAAACATGCATTACACCACACAAAGAGCATGCTTAAATGTCACCTTTACACTTTTTTTCTTGTTTCTGTTTAGTGAATATCTTATATGCATCAGTTTGTTGGTATTTTTCCAGTTCTTTAATATACCTTTCTTTATCTTTTTCAGCTTCATCTAAATACCTCTGAAATTAATGAAAATTAAGATGTAATTTCTAAGCGTAAACTGAACAAAGAACATTTTAAAACGAGAAACACGACTAACGTATTACCTGCTTCTCATTAGTTGATAATTTACTCCATTCTCCGGCCAAAATTCTAGTCACTTCAGAAAAAGAGGCAGACGGATTTTCTAGTCGGACTTTTTCTCTGTTTTCGTTTAAAAATCGAATGTATCCCGTGAGAGGTAGTCTTGGGGCATTAACATCTCGTGGTCTAGTCTTTCGTTTTCGTCCTTTTGGCCATCCTCCTTTACGTTTCTGTAAGGAATCTAAAACATTGTTACGGCTCTTAAATTTAAAATAAACATTTTGTTACTGCACAAAAAAGCCTTACTTCCGGTAAATCTTGACAGTCTGTATCAACCAGAAGACTTTCTGGATGAGTCGTTTCTTCGCACTGTGACACTAAATATAAAATTATTTAAATGTATAAATTACCCTTAAAAAAAAAAACAAATTTTTCACTTCGTTTGAACTGATATCGATTTACCATGTAAGAGAAAACATATTAAAATGAGAGCTAAATCTTCAATATCTCAAGATGTTGCATGAAGATCTGATCAATGCAGAATTACAAAAGTCACTCTTTCTGTTACAGAAATGTTGTGTTATCTAAATTACACTTATAGAAAAGCTGGCTTAGAATATTTGTGGTTATATTCTTATTTTACTTAGTTTTTGCTTACTTCATTTTGTCTCCACACTTATGTATTCCCTAAAATAAAAGAGAAGTTGCAGCAATATAGATTTCAGCAAGCAAAAAGCTGCAGTAATGCAAGCCATTAGACATTGCAAAAAACAGTTTCTGGGACTGCTTTGACAAGTGATATAGATGCCATCAGAAAGGCATAGCTAAAGTATAAGCTTACTTTAAAAGTAGCATTTTTTTTTTAACTCTTTCTGCCCTGTGTATACTAAAAGGGCCTTTCTTAGATAGCCTGTTATCAGTTCAGCCAGCTCACTATGGGGTGGCTGGGTAGCGATGAAACAAAGCCTGATATATCTGGATGGACCACCTCCCAAAAAACTCTTGGAGTTTTTTGAACCATCCAGATTTGATCCCAGGTTCCCAGAGCAGTAAGCTACCACCCTAATTGCTCAGCCATCCAGCTGTTGCAGGTTATATGTATTATATAATAAAATCTGTAAGTTTAATTTTAATGACTACATATTTATAATTATAAGGATCTAAAGTAAATTTTCTTATAGTAAAAATAATGTAAAAATGTATTATTTATTGCTAGCATACTTATTTAGAAAGATTCACAAGCATAAATCTAAACTAAGAACAGAACTTCTTTATTCAGAGAAGTTATGCATTATCATATTGCATTAGTTTGGAACAAAGTGCTTTTGGAGCTACATGCTGTCCTCAGGATTCGCCACTCTCTAAAAACAGTTTTTGGTTAGTACTTATTCTGGTATCAAAGCATAAAAACAAAATGGTGCATTTGGAATTTTTAACTGAAAAAAAACAAATCAAGCATTCTAATCAGATGATCCAATTTCAAATGTGTACCCAAGGATCCAAAAGCACTTGGTTCTGAACACGTACAGTATGATGATGTGCAAGTTCTCCAAATAAAGCAATTGTTTTTTTATTTTGAATATTTAGAGATTGAAGTAGATTAACATTAATTTAATTCAAACTGCTTTCTTGCAGCAAGAACTTTAGAAAATCCATGCTTTTGAACTGTATATCATCAGAACAAGTGAAATTAGAGACTTCTGATGATAAGCATAAAGCCCAACAGAGCTAGAGTTCAGCACTTGGTTCTGAAGTGTGGACAGATAAAAGTATAATGCCAGTGCTATATAAGAATATCTCCTTAGTCTTTTGCATCAACCATTGCCATTGTAGTCTACCTCCCCTTGTTTGTTTATGCTATCCCATCTTTCTTTGTATGCAATCCATTTTTATCTGTTTTTTTGTTTTTATCTGTTTATTTGTAATTTTTACCTGGGAATGGCCTGTTAAATGGATCAAAAACATTAGCTTTCCCCAATCTCGTCCACTGTTAACGGCACATTGCTTACTTTATTAGATGAATTACAGTGGCTAGTTCAACTTTCTAAATAATTCTTCTTATAGTATAAATTACTTAAAATATTTTTAGCATCTTATCATATATTTCTCTTATCACGTTAATAATCGAATGATAAAGACAGATTTGTTATTGGACTATAACTTCACTAATTCAATTTACGGATGTTATGTAATTTGAACTAAACATATGCAATTAAATCACAATCATGTATTAAATTTAATAATTAGAATTAAGTTAATTAATTTAGAATATTTTACAAGAAAAGATCGATCCAGAGTAGGACTTGAACCTGCAATTCTTGTAGATGCATTGCCAATTAATTACGCTACATGGATCTTCTTCAATTACACACCTACTGCCATCCAAAGCACTCAACCATATACAGAATCCAGCATTCCAAAAGGAATTCCACCATTTTAAATTATTTTAATTACATTAATTATCCAAGAATGTACCAACCGTCCATTCTGTTCGAATTTCCAGTTATCAGATGTAGCAACAGTCCACATTACCTCAGATAATTGGAGTTCTACTGTATATGAACAGCTACATGGGGAAAACTAACTCAGGTAAATAAGAGATGATAAGCAATGCCCCAACTAGTAATATCTATAATCAATTATTGTTTATACAGTACAAATTGAACTCAAAGCTAGATCTCCAAGGCAATATGCTGACTATCTTGTTAATTGTTAATGTTCACAAGTTTACCATCTAAAGCATTTTCATATCACAAATGCAGTTGGGTCTATGTATTTACAAGCCAACATTTTACACAAAAAGATGAAATTCCACAAAAATCTGTACTCTTGCCCAAATAGCCCAGATGTTTTTCTACATATGCATGTACTGTACATTTACACATCCATTTACAATTAACAGGAAAATGTTTAAACATATTTAAAAGCTTTTTAAATACATAAAATTACAATAATACATAAAATTTTAGACCCACATTTTCAAAAATATTATCAAACTTATATTACATATGTAAAGTATTGGCCTTTTAGCAGAGAGGGAACAAAGGAAGCGTGGCCTTGTCAATTGGACCCAGATGCGGTCGGGCAATATACCACTTGTAAGGTGTTGACTTGTAAACAGAGGGAAAACAAAGGAAGCACCAACTTTGTCAGTTGGACCCACCTGTGGTCAGATGATAGACCATTTGCCATATGGTAAACTACTGAATGTAAACAAGTGGTGGACGTTACTGTAAGCTTGACTCTCGTCGGATGACGGCAGACCTGAGTGTAAACTGTTCGGGCAAGAAAGGGTTATGATTGATTGGAATCCCCATCCAAAAAAAAAAACGCTTAAATTGCGAGGCAAACAGGAGAGGAGAGAAGGGCAAGAGACTGGTACACGGTAGTCTCAGGCATTTGGGAAGCCTGCTGAGTGTAGAGTGTTCTGCTCTGGTAAACATCTCAGGGGATGGTTAGTGCGGAGACTGGACTGACTAAGGCATCTCCAGAGTTTAATAGTTCCCGAAAGCCAATCCAATATGTGAGACACCATACTTTGTTATCCTGTATATACTATGTTTTTGAACTTGTACACCCTACATATAGAATCTGTAAATAAACTGTAAATATTGTATAATTTCAGTGTGGAGGTGTGCTTTCCATCGAACTTGGATCACTATATCAAATTGTGATACACACAGAAATCAACTCAATAAGACGGAGTTTGGGAAAAGACTTCACTAAGATTTTCACTACATAGTTACATACAAGGCATGTACCAGAGTAATCACCCAATATACACAACACACAAAGGTCACTAACTATTCAACTTAGATGGCACTTAACTCAAAGAATAAACATGCATGTGCCCCATTATCACAAGATTAAGACAACAAGCAGTACCAAGTTGCTAGTACGTTAAATTTCACAACCACCACTGCTAATACGCATCTCTCAAGCTGGCTGTATCTTTCACATTTTTGAAAACAACTCATACAGTAAATGATGACAAAATTACTTTTCAGTTTAGTTAATTTTATATGTTTTACTAAAAACATTGCCGATATATGTGTTTTATGTTACAAGATAGTTTACTGGACCAAGAATTATTTCTTTATTTCAATTAATTATTCCAAGTTAATTATGATCCACACAGAATATTTTCCACCAAATCTTCAATTTATGTATAAGGCCCATTCCAGACTTTCCGTCTTTTCTTCAGCTATCCTCTCTTCCCTATGCTCTATAAATTAAGATTGCATATATAATTCCTTTTCAAAGAGGAGGAGAACTGCTGATCCAAGTTGACAACTTAGTTTACAAGAGCCAAAAGGTCTGGGTCCTGCACATGAAGTGTATCCTCAAACAAAGCAGGCATGTAGAAGTAGAGATTTACAACCCACTGGTAGTCTAATACAGAAAATACTGGTGGGTTGTGAATCTCTACTCCACATCTATGCCAGCTTTGTGTTAAGAAAGTTGTAAGAACTGTATGGTACCAGACATAAATGCTATTAAATAAGCTAATGGGATATGAGGCTACAGGACCCAGATCTTTCGGCTCTTGTAAAGCAACAAGCTGTCAACTTAGCTCGGCAAGTCTCCAATTCTTTGAAAACAAACTATGTATGTAAGCTCAAATGAATATTCTACAAGCAAGATAATTCAAGATCATGTTCAGGATTCAGTCTTTGTCCACTCTCTTAACAGAATATTTAGCCATTGTAGGACTAATATACGAGCGCTAAGATGGCTTTTTCTTTTCTGCTAGACTTATTACACCATCAATGAAACAGAGGACAAACTTTAGAAAGACTTTTTATTTATTTGAGTATGCATTTTGGATAATTATATCCATTTTCAACTCTTTCGTTACAACTATACAGCATAATGTATACAAGTTAGCAAAATTTTACTATAAAGTTACAAAATTGTAAAAGAACATTAGGAAACTTACATGGATTGTGAGAAAACATGGTTCATTATAACAACGAACATTGCCAAATCTTAAAAGAAACTGTAAAAATTGTCAAAAAAGAATTACATACACAAAAAAGGAGGTGGTATGAACATCTTGAGATCCTTAAAAACAAAGACAGTGTAATGAATAATAATATTGGTCAAAAGCCACATGAAACTTGGTATCCATACTTGACCAAGAGAAGCCCAGAGGCGGTAGTACTTAATTTATGTGTTAAAATACAGCACCCAGCAGGGTACTCATATATCTCACTTCCCCTCCTACTTCACTCTTCTACAATTCCCTAACCCCCAAAACACCTGTTTTTTTGATTTCTCCCTCCCTTATGTCCACCCCTCCCCCACTACCTCTCTCCCCTTTTCAAGTTGATGCCATCCTAACGCATCCTTTCCCACTTACAATTTGTGGACCATCCCACACTGCGAAACTCTACTGTAAACTAAAACAATCTCTTGCTGTTCCCTTTATTTTAATGGTGTACTAACCTCACTTCATCATACTGGTTGTTCCAAAAGGTTTCTATTACCCTTACTGTAACCAAGATCAAGGTTCCCAATTTTCTTAATATTAACTCAACATTGTGTTGTGTATACTGGGATGTTTTTTCCAACACTATGTACCAGACCATAATGTTCACTATAAGTTCAAAAAATTTTTACATCTATGTTAAATGTTCCCTTTTGTAAATCATTTTAAATTTATTCATTATAGTAGCTTATACCTGTTAATCAATAATCACCATCCGTATTTTATCTAATGTCACAACTCCTGCATTTCTCACAATCCATGTAAGTTTCCTAATGTTCTTTTACNTTTACATCTATGTTAAATGTTCCCTTTTGTAAATCATTTTAAATTTATTCATTATAGTAGCTTATACCTGTTAATCAATAATCACCATCCGTATTTTATCTAATGTCACAACTCCTGCATTTCTCACAATCCATGTAAGTTTCCTAATGTTCTTTTACAATTTTGTAACTTTATAGTAAAATTTTGCTAACTTGTATACATTATGCTGATTTTCCATGTATAGTTGTAACGAAAGAGTTGAAAATGGATATAATTATCCAAAATGCATACTCAAATAAATAAAAAGTCTTTCTACAGTTTGTCCTCCATTTCATTGATGGTGTAATAAGTCTAGCGGAAAAGAAAAAGCCATCTTAGCGCTCGTATATTTGAACATAAGACTAAACAATAAGCATATCACATAATTGTAGGACTAATTAGAACAAGAGTAAGGTTCTGTCTTTCGTTGATTCGATAGCTTATCTCCAAGCCTATGAATAACTGCTTAATGGCAGAATTTCATTTCTTCACCATATTCTCTGCACATTGCCAACTTAAATCACATAATCTTTATACTGTAACAAAACCAGTACAGCCAGATGTAAACTCTGAACGAGACTTGCCACCTCACAAAGTTATAGACCCCCGTTCATGCAAAAAAGTCAACAGAATCATTCCTGTACACACAACCTCTCACCAGATATTCTCCTCCGAAGGTCAGTTCTTACCGGGTACCAGTACACTGCCTATTCCCCATGCTCCGTGTCAGTCAAGGCTCACCATTGCTCGTCTCAACCAACACTCCGCATGCAGTCACTCACACCTCTCAGACTTCCCTACAACTATATAACATCAAGTACTCCACAAACACCCAAAGCCAGCAAAATAGTTAAATGCAATAATCTCGGTGGAGTGATGCAACTCTCAATCACGCACAACCCGGAAATAGGCCAATTTCGGGGCACCACAACTCGCCACGGATTGCACATAGATATATGATTCCTTTGACTTTTTTGCACCTACGGGTACGATCATTGGCTTCGATAAGGTCCAACCGTCTTGTTTAGAGGTGTAATTGTACCCCAGCCCATTCTTTCATTCGCAATGCAGTCAAACACGTGTAAATCCAATATCTTCACAGCAACAACATTGGAGGCATTGCTTATTGTTCAATTGACCCTTCTACAACCAAAATTATCAAAAAAAAAAAAAAAATGAAAATTATAAACTCCATTACCAAATTTATACAATAATTTATATTGAAATAACACAAAAAATATACAATTTTTAAGGTAAATTGACTGAATTTTCGTGAATTTCTGTAGTTTTGTGTGTGACAAGCAGACAATGTCAAGTGTATAACACTTATAACAATGAAATGTAAAGGTTACGTCACTGTAAATAGATTATTTACGTCACTTTGTTACGTAATTAATTAATTATTCTGTCAATGTAAATGAATAAACAACAGAAACTTACTTAAAACAAAAAGATGGAAGCTTTTCCTTTAAAAGAAAAAAAAACTAACTTAGTTCCGTAAACCGGCACCAGGGGGCAGGGTTAAAATGGAATAATATTTTAAAGTTTTATTTTATTTTTAATAGAAAGAATTTTTTTAATTTTTAAATTTAAATATTATTAATTACTTAACTGATTAATTCACATTATGCTAAAAATATTAATATAATACGTAACATTCGTATTTTTTTTTTTAAATGTTTATAATCCTTTAGCGCCTCCTTATTTTTAAAACTAATTTATGTTGATTTTTTTTTTTTTTAATCGGGAAGTGTTAAATAATTTTCATATTTTTCAAAACTAGCTTTTATTTATGAATTTTAAAATTATTTTATTAGAAATTATGTGATTCGACATTATCTGTGGCGGGGTGAAAGCGTGCAGCGATTTTACAAAACAGGTCCGGATTCGATTTTCTTATTATGCGCCGTTTTCTGTGGAGGTGATATTAATTTAGAAAATAAAAATTAAGAGTATTCTAGTTATTATACATGATAAAAATAGAAACAGTTACACATTTAACAACACAGTATTTTTGTCTAAATGCATATTTAAATGTTTCGCATTCAAAATTATTTGGCCCACCAGTGGTCGAGTGGATTAAATCACTAAATACTCGTAACTGGTTGTAAGTTTGCGATACACAAACAGGCTGGACAAGTGGTTTTCAAGGTTTTCTTCGCATATCAAATAACTAAATAAGGACTAGTTTCCTATAGAAAGTCCTTCCGGGAGGCATCCCTCCTGAGCAGATCACTCACGTGTTGCATTGCTGTATCCCAGCAAACCAACCAAATCAAAATTATACGAGTGGTCAAAAGTTCTCGGAATTCTGATAAAGCACTGTAATGGTAGAACACATAGAAATGCTTATGTAATCTTCAAAGTAGGGCCCTTCAGCGCGCGCACACACACACACACACACACAAGTGTGTGTATGTGTGTCGATCTTGCCATTGTTGAAGCATCGTTGAAAGGCTTTCTTTGGAATATTCAAGAGTTTGACCTTCGCATGCATTTAATTTAATATCCTCTTTGGTTGAGTAAGGCATCAACTTGAAACCCATTTTTAGCACAAGTGATAAGTACTCGATGCGTTATCGTGATACAGAAACCATTCTCTTCGCTGCTTGTTATGCCATTTCTATCGAACTGCATCTCTCAATCTATGTAACAATGTCGCGAACAACGGATTTGTACCAATTAATAAACCAGTTTAGATGTGGCAAAAGACCTTGTACCATAATGTTTGACATTATTTGAAAGTTTGCGAAAGCGTTTGCCACTGATCCATTGTTTACCGGTTTCTCAACGTGCTATCAACAGTATGAAGCATGCTTCGGAGTAACACAGGTGTGGTCACACTAAGCAACTGCAGCTGACTTCACTAAACGAACGGGTTAGTTCAAGTGCTATGCGAAATGGTATGTCATCGTGTATAGCATAAAATAACGTACTGTACGTACACCAAAATAATCATGTGTCTGTTCACAAAAATTATAAATACTATGGTTTTTAATGAGGTAACATAACACCGCTGTCTGCAACACTGTTACATAGATGTGAATATAACTTTATGATTTTGATTTCTAATAATTTATTATACTAATAAAATTACCAAATAAATGTTTGAGTCACAATTACTAAATAGTATTGCTACGTAATAAACAAAATTTTAATTGTTGAAAAATTGAAAGTATTAAATTTCTTATGCTCTGATTGCGAGAAAGCCGAGTGATAACACCAAAGCGAAAAAATTGCGTTGTCAAAAATAGTTGTAATGGCCCATTTGAAATGAATTGGAACTGGTCCGGACATTGAAACCAGAAAGAAAGATAAAACGCATAGGATTGTTGTAGAGTTATAATTATGCTACATTGTTATTTTACTGAATCGCGATTTTCTTGTGCGACAATCTAGAGAACAACGCTCTCACGCTGCAAGAGAATTTATTGCAGGTGGTTATTAAGGTATTGTTTTTCGTAAAATTTCTCTAAAAAGAATCATAAACTTGAAAACTGCTGTAGGAATCGCTTCAGAACACATCAGTTGAGAAATACAGTAGAGCATTGATTATCCGACTCAATTGGGGACTCAGGTTGGTCGGATAACTGAAAAAATCGGATAACCGAAAAGAATTAAAAAAATACATTATTAGTATAGTATATTAATAGTATTTAATTAGTATATTAGTATATCGCTATTAACCAACTTCGCGTTGAATTTTCATCTATGTTAAGCCTAACAAATTTTTTTTAAAATAATAATTGTCGCTATTGTATCGTTAAAAATTATTTTTAAATTATTTTATTGCTCACAAAACAAAACCATTCATAATTAGAAAATTAAGTCTTGTTTAAATACTGGCCTCCCTTCAATGGTCGAGTCAGTGTTGCCAGCTAAAACACGCAAAAATTTAACAAAAATAATATTAAAGTAGCCAAGACATAGCCAAATATTGTAGCGCCACATCACTAGTGGACATTTGAAATTTGCCGACTAGAACGGTCGGTTAACCGATGTGATGGTTAATCGGGAGTTGGATAATCGATGCTCTACTGTACTACAAAGCCTGCAGTTTAACTATTTATTTTTGAGAAATTCATAGAAAAAACCACTATGTACTATGTAACCACAGGATGCATACTATTTTTTTAAAAAACTCTTTCTGCCCTGTGGGCACTAAAATGGCTCCATTTTAGCAAGCCCATTATGAGTTCGGCCAGGCTCATAATGGGGCGGCTGGGTGGTGAAGGACGGGACCTGACATATCTGGACGGACCACTCCCGAAAACTCGGTACCAAAAACTAAAGCAGACGAACAATTGTAAGCACTAAATAATTTTGGTGCGAAAAATTAATGTTTGTCCGCATTTTCTCGGCAAAATATCTTTTTGTGTTGGCCACGACACCTGACTTTTGTGCGTCAACACACCTATTTAAGGTCTCTCGAGAGATAAGGTTTATCACCTTTGTCTCTGAAACGTCCTTTCCTTGTCAGAATAGTTTGGATTAGACTCTATTTTGAAGAAACACAAACAGTGTGCTAAATTATAAAAATACTAGCAGGTAGGCCCGGTGTTGCTCGGACAAAAGTAATGATAAGGAAGATTAACATTATTACGTTATAGTTAACCTCACCTATTTTCACAGAATGCAAGAATTGGGTCCCCTTGTTTCCAGACTAATTAGAGAATTTTTAGATGGGTCTAAAAATATGTTCGATTTCACAGAATGCAAGAATTGGGTCCCCTTGTTTCCAGACTAATTAGAGAATTTTTAGATGGTTCTAAAAATATGTTCGATTTCCCGCAAAAACGAAAAAAACTGCATCTGCATCTTGCACGTTGCTTTCTCTTAACAATTCCATTGTTACTAACACTTCCATTGTTGATGGAAGTGTTAAGCCTTAATCCTGTCCTCTCCCCCGTGGGGAGGAATTTCGAAAAATCCCTTCTTAGTGTGCGTTCTCATAACGTACCCTAACTGTGTACCAAATTTCAACTTTCAACTCCTAACCGTTTGGGCTCTGCACTTATTATTATTATCATCATCACCATCATTAACTTGTCTCGATTATATACATATAGATTGAGCATTAAGGATTTATGCAAAAAAATACGTAATCATTTTTGGTGACGTAATGCAATGTAACATGAGGATCTGCCAACAAGACAGACCCTCTTGGCAGAATTGCCTGTGTCCACCAGTAGCTGAGTGGATAAACAATTGAACACTGATAATTGCTCATAGGTTTGCACCTCACTAATGAGCAGGTTTTCTTCTTCAATCTAAACACTTAAGGACCAATTTCCCATAAAAAATACACCTGTGAAGCATCTCTCCTTTGAGAAATTGTCGCACCATATGTTGCCCACGTATGTGACCACATATGGCCCAATATTTATCTTTATCAAATAATAATGTATACAAGGGGAAAAAACTATTTGATAAAGATGAATACTTTGTGAAATTAATGAATATACCTAAATTTTTTAAAATGGTTAAGAAAATATTAGCTAATAAAATAAATTTACTAGAAAAAATGAACTCAACCAAAAAATATTTATATTATAGAAGTAATAAAAAACAGGAAATAACAGAAGAAAAAGATGTAGTATACTCATTTGATTGCAATTGTAGACAAAGAAAAACATATATAGGAGAAACAAAAAGAAAATTGAAAATACCTATAAAGGAACACATTCGTGCTATTAAAGGTAATTATGCAAATTCAGCAGTGGCTGAACACTGCAATACAAATGGATGCGAAATATATTTAAATATAGTTAAAATAAAGAGAAAAGAAAACAATAATTATAAAAGGCAATGGAATTAACAACGGGAAGAGAAATCCACCAATCCTAAGACAGTATTATCGACATGGTTGACACATTTATAGAGGAAACGTACTTAGAAATGGATATGTTGGTTTTAGGAAAATGTTTTCACAACCCCATTTTTTAAATATGAATGTTTTAAAATTATTGTGTTATATATACAGGATCAGACACATAAAACAGATTTTTATGTTGTTATTTTTATATTTCAATGTTATTAGAGACCAAAATAATGTAAGTCATTTTAATATTTATTATTGTACCGTGAATTATTATAGCATTATTGTAACCCTTTTTTAAATCTTGTTTTTAGCACATGGTGGCAGTAAACCTGCTGATGAGGGACCGAATGGTGCAAAACACAAAGTGTGTAAATTGTGTACAGGTAAATCAGGCCAATAATATTTTTCCTTTTTTCTCTAGGTAAGTTTCCTCATTTTGCAGGACTTGGACACCAGTGTAATAAGTCTTAGTAATACAATCTGTACTAGTAGACATTTAAATAATAAAATGATCTGATATTTTACCAAACTGCACTACCAGCATCTGAGCCACATGGAACTTGAGTTGCATGTGGCTCATAAGCCACCATTGATATAAATTAAATTACAGTTTGATTTATCAGGAATTTTAATTACAGATCTGAAGATTTCAGTCAACCCAATGATTGTAATAGTATCTGAAATTAAATATTCAGACTTAAATATTAACAAATATTCAAGCTGAATCCTTGCTTCCAATACTATTATATGTTGAAATTATCGTAAGAACTGATTAAAGGTTGATAAAGTTTATAATGAATCATTTATGTAAAAGAAAATGCTTAATATTTAATATAAATCTTAAAAGTATTAAATAATAAAATTGTTTTCTCATCACAAACTTGCAAATTTTTAATTCTATCATACTATAGACATCTACTTCATTCCGTAGCTTAAAAAATCAAGCTTATTCAAATCTACAAGCGTTTAATTGTATCACAATGCAAATTGAAATATCAATTATGGAGTGAGCCTCTTTGGATCTCTTGGGAACATTGAAGTCTTTCTAACATTGTCCAGGCCCAAGAACAGCATTGTAACTCGTTCTAGCCCTGAAATACAAGAAATGTCACGTATTTTTCCAAAAAAATTTAGAATAATCATCTCTATCGGTTTTAAATATTACCAATTCCTCCTCCAGCATGAGGTGGACATCCATATTTAAACGAGTCAATGTAGGCTTTAATTTTCTCTAAATCTAATTAAAATAGAAAAAAAGTTACATATCTGTAGCCATAATAACAAAAATTAGTTTAAAATCCACTTACTTATGCCATGTTCAGTCGCTCGCATGGTTAGAAAATCAGGATCATGAATTCGCTGAGCACCAGATAATATTTCTTCACCTCTCATAAACATATCATATGAATTTGATGATTTCTAAAAGTCATTTGAATGAATTACTGAATGTTATTTCACTTAAGAAAAAATTTTTTTTAAATGTGAAATGTTAATTGCACACTTACGGCATTGTGAGGATCTGGCATCGTGTAGAAGGGTCGAACTTTCAATGGATATTTGTCCAGAATGTAAAAGTCAGTATCGTACTAAAGGTATAAATGATTAAACAATTAATATATTTATTTAAAATTTAAAAAATTCAGTTAACTTTTTAAACAGATATGTTTATAAACTACAAATTTCTAGAAGTGCTTTAAGGTGAACAATTGTACAGGATGATTCAAGCCTATACATAGGCAAATGGTTCTCCTTATTAAGATAAGTTATTGAATATATGTGTGAGTGACGATTAACTGAATGCTCTCTTTCCACTCATGAGTATTGATATGTATATGCATCGCAATTGTGTCCCATAGGATGGAGTCTGTTTTGTATAAACTGTAGAATTGCTGTTATAAAGATTTATGATCAAAGGACCAACAAAGAAATAGAACTGTATTTTTTAATACAAGACACTAATATATGAGTTATTACAAATGAATCATTGGATATTAAATTTCTTTAACTCCCAAAGTATCGAGCTGGGTCATCCATGCCAGACATGAAATGAAAAAGCAACTCTCTAAATTTGAAATACATGTGTGAAGATTTCCTTGCAACAGACCAGGTGGCAGCATGACACATGTTGACAAAATTGTGGCTATGCAGCATAAGGCATTTCTGATGACTGTCTTTCAGCAGGATGGAGGTGCATATACCTGAATGCAGAAGTCTCATACCACTGAATTGGGCATTGAAGTAATGACGACTTAATGCTGTACAGATACCTCCCAGATCTCCGAACCTCACCCAATGTGATTTTTTTTTTCTGTCAGAATATGTATAAAACACAGTTCAAATGCCACCATCACCCATATCTTTGGCAGGGCTCAGAGACCACATTACTGCTGCAATTACAACCATCCAAGGAGACACACTATGAAGAGGCTATCACATGTAACAAGGAACACACACAGAGCCATCTGTAATAACCTTACATGTATCATAAGCTATATGATAGGCCTAATTCATAATGGAACTGATTCTTATATACAAGAAATGGAATCTCTTACAGTGGCAAGTAGTTAAATATGCACAAATATAAATATCCAATAATCCAATTTTTGGTTTAATGCCAAATGACTGCCAGATTACATTGGACTACAATAATGCTACTAATTATTAATTAACAGTCAAGTAATTTGGCCTAGAGGTCAGTTTTAGGTGCCATCTCTTGATAAATTTAATAATTTTAATTAAATTAATATTACTTATGGATACAAATTCACTGAGTTCAGCGTTAATAAAGTTCCTTTAGTATTAACGCAAGCACTTTCGACGAATGTATAATCGTCGTCTTCAGATGAAAAGAACAAATTTTAACAAGACAAATGTGCAGGATGTTCCAAAAGAACAGAATATTTAAATTCAAACAGGTGTCCAGAAGTTCCGTTAAGAACGTGCAAATAATTTTTGATATGTTCCAATTTATAACGCACCTAACATCGTATCACCAACGCGGTAGCATTTCCACGCATGCGCCACTAGCATCATAAAATATAAAAATTCGAACATATCAAAAATTATTTGCATGTTCTTAACGGAACTTCTGGATGCCTGTTTGAATTTAAATATTCTGTTCTTTTGGAACATCCTGCACATTTGTCTTGTTAAAATTTGTTCTTTTCACCTGAAGACGTCGATTATACATTCGTCGAAAGTGCTTGTGTTAATACTAAAGGAACTTTATTAATGATGAACTCAGTGAATTTGTATCCATAAGTTATACAAACATTGGTGTGAGTTTTAAATTTATTTTTACTTAAATTAATATTAAATAATTAATTTGGTAGATCTAACCAGTGAGGAACCAGTATGGTTATAGCTAATTTAATATAGCTAGTTCTGGAATAATTTAATTATTAATATGGTTATAGCTAATTTAATAGTTCTGGAAGCGAAGATCAGACAGAGGTCCAGGTAGCATAACTGGCAATGTGTTTGTAAAAGTAGAAGTTATGAGTTCATGTCCTATTTTTCTAAATCAATTATTAAGTATTAATTATAATTATTAAATTTATCAAGAGGTGGTGCCTAATGCCTACCTCAGGCCTAATTATTTGACATTTAATTAATAATTAGTAGTGTTATTGTAGTCCAATGTAATCTGATAATCATTTGGCATTAAGTTAAATAATTATTAAATAACCTGCTACAACATGAACAATGTGCTTTAATTTAATATTTCCTTTGTCAAACAGATAAACTGTAATTAAACATCAAAACTAACTGACAAATATAGTTTTGATGTTTAATTATAGTTTATCTGTGGGTTTTCCCTTATACAAAGATTAGATCAGCCAAAACTACACACAAAAAAATGTGTACACTCTAATTAATTAAAGCGTATTCTAAAAAAAAAAACTATTCTCTTCTAATAATAAAATTAATTCAAATAAAAATGGTTCAGCCAATATTATGCAAGTATCTTTTTTTCTTTATATATTGCATTTTAACATAGTAATTACTAACTGTTCATAAATTTAAACCACTAAATCCCAAGTGATCCCACAAATATATCTATACTAATATTATAAAGAGGTAATGTTTGTATGTATGTTAGTTTGTATGCAGCAGGTAATCTCCGAAACTACTCATCCGATTTCAAAAATTCTTTCACCAATATTTAGAATGGAACTTCAGGGTGGACATAGACTGTATATTATTCCATTAAACATGGGAGATGGACAGTTCTTTACGGTAAGCGACGGAATTAAGGCTTACCGTAAAGAACTCTGCTTCTATTTATACTATTTTAAATGCGGTTTTTTGCGTTTTTGATTGCGTTTTAATAGGGTACTTCAAGAGAATGTACACTAATAAAAAATTTTTCTAAAAATTTTCCCCCACGGGGGAAGTGTTATACATTTATAATAGATACATTTTGAGCCACAACAATGCGTGGCGGGGTCTGCTAGTATTTATATAAAACACAAGGTATCATCATTGTTCTAGTTGTTAAATACAGTATTAATAGTATGTTAATAGTGTGTTGAGGTAAAACCACTATTGACTGCACTCCTGGTAGTTGTTAGGTGACACTTACTCTGTATAACTACGCAATAAGGCAGTACAGTAATATCTGAGTTTTCGTTGCCTTCAGTTATTATTGATTTTTTTTGCGAAAAATTTCTCTTGGATTTCGTCAGTGTGCCCATGTGACCTCCTGCTAATTTTGTGAAAACATAGGACGACCCATGCATTTTCCTGCTCAGTTTGGCATTGTTTCTCATTGTGTGAGCCTTACCCTGTGCATCTAGCCAAACAATTCCATTGCTTTCCTTTCACCATGGAACCAAAGAAAGTTTCCAGAGCCAGTAGTCCTTCGAATGCCATGTTAAATGTTCATTATTCTTTACATTAGTTTTTATATTAATTTCTTATTATTTTTAGTATTAAACACAGTATCTATTCTCCATAAAATGTGTTTTGGTATGTATTTTGGAGTGTCTAGAACAAATTAATTGGATTTACATTGATTCATATGGAAATGATTGCCTTGGTTTTCATTGGTTTCAGATTTCGCAGATTGTTTTTGGACAGATTATCGACGAAAACCAAGGTATCACTGTACCTTTCAAGCAGGATGTTGCAAAATAGTGCTGAGTAGTGCCATAACACTACTTACATATCTAAAGGACGAAACACACACTAACTGCATTGATAAGAGCCACAAGATAAAGATTACCAAGTCAAGAGTGCCACTAATAAAACAATGCTGCCATAAGGCATTAAGCAACATATCTAGCAGTAATTTTGTACACTTTATGGAAGTGAAAACAACTCTTGCAAGGAATTTACATTTGCACACACAGCTCTCTCTATATATCCTTCCTTCCCCCGTCTCTTCTAATTTTTGTCTTGTTTCTCTTCTACTCTTTTAGTAGTAGTATCCAAATTATCTTAGAAAACTTCTCAAAATGAGAGAAAATCTACTTTAAAAAATTCATCTGAATAATTCCTTCTTTGTTTTTATTAGTAAACTAGCAGATCCTGCCACGCCTTGTTGTGGCTCAAAATGTATCTATTATAAATGTATAACACTTCCCCAGTGGGGAAAAATTTTTCGGAAAATCCCTTCTTAGTGTACATTCTGTTGACGTACCCTATTAAAACGCAATCAAAAACGGAAAAAACTGCATCTAAAATGGTATAAATAGAAGCAGAGTTCTTTATGGTAACCTTTTCCGTAAGGCTTACCGTAAAGAACTGTCCATCCCCCATGTTTAACGGAATAATATATAGCCTGTTTCTATCCTGAAGTTCCATTCTAAATATTGGTGAAAGAATTTTTGAAATCGGATGAGTAGTTTCGGAGATTACCTGCTGCATACAAACTAACATACATACATACAAACATTTCCTCTTTATAATATTAGTATAGATTAACCTTTCAACAGTGGACTAGTTGGGTATGGTTCCACCTCCAGTAATGGAGAATAAACGTGCAAAATTTTTAGTATTTTTCCACATGTTTTTTCTCATTACTGTTTCAAAAAAAGATTTTGTAAACAGTTATGTCTAGTAAAGAAAAGTCTTTTTTTTTATTGTTACATGATTCATTTTTTGTGTGAAATTTTTTTTGCAGTAGTTTTAGGCTAGTTTTTGGCAATACTTCGCAATATAGTTTGGCATCTATAGTCATCCCTCACCACTGCCACATGATCGCCCTTATATTAACCATTCAGCTTACTGCTGAGTGGTTAATATAAAATTCGGATCTGACACTTTTAATTATGTTTATCATCTTATGTCAGTAAGCATTACCATAACTGCTATACTTTTAGTTATGTTTATCACTTAGATATTATCATTTCAAGTGTATCACATCAAGTGAATTTTTCAATATGACGCAAATGTTTTTCTTCAGAGAAAAATGTAAAAAACATTAACACTTCCAGATTATACATCCATCTTGAGAATCTGAACAAAGATGTGTAAACCTACATTTTTAACCCTACAATGGTAGGCTGACATTCTATGGGGAATCCATTAATTAAAAAGGATGTTTGCATGATCATGAACATAAGTTTTTATTTGAATTTATTAGAATCGACATAATTTTTCAGTGAGTGTCAGTTCATTATCTGACCTTTGTAGAATGCCAATTTACATATATATATTCTTGATAACTTACTGTGTGGTATCTGTTCAACAGAATAAATTACAAATTTAAGACATACAAAGAAAATTGTGCAAAAAATTTAAAATATTTATGTGTTAACAATATAATTTTGATAAACTCACTTTAGCTTTCACTAACTTCCCAAGTAATTTTTCATTTGGTGTACTAAGATCTTCTTCTTCGTCCATTTCTACTCCGGCTTCTTTTAACATTGCAACAGCCTCAGGAAATTCAAGCCTCAGACTAAATATAAATTATTAAATGTTAAATTTTCATTAATCATTAGAAATGCTTATAAAAATTCTTCTCACCTTGGCTCAAGGAATTTAAAAGGTTCAGCAGGATACTGTTTATAGATTGTTTTAATTTCATCAGCATATCTGTTGGAATAAAATATTTAAAATAAAATTTTCTGTATATTCTTAACTATTTATGTTGCTGAATATTCTTACTTGGTTTGCAAACCTTTAAACATCTCAACAAACATTTCACCGATAACATTAATAACTTCATGATAGTGATAGTTGAAAGCCATTTCTAAATCGAGACCGACGAATTCGCACAAATGCCGATGAGTGTTTGAATCTTCTGCTCTAAATACTAAATAAAGTTTTAGTAAAATTAGAGATATTTTAATACATTGACATATTAAACAAAATTTTCCAGACTCTCACCGGCTCCGATAGTAAAAACTCTGTCGAAATCTGCTGCAATTGCCATTTGTTTATATAATTGTGGAGACTGTGCAAGATATGCACTACCTTTGAAATACGAAACTTCAAAAACATTTGCTCCACCTTCGCTTGCAGCTGTAGGTAAAATTAAATGAAAAAGCATCAATCTAAGAAGGCTCCACAGCACACATTTAGTATTTGCCAATTGTTGAATAATTGCCTGTTTGTCTTCCTTTGATTTGATACAATGTACCGACAAGGCATGGGAAACACTGAATACTGAATATTATTCATGAGTAAATCATCCACACTATGTTGTATTGACAAAATGTTTGCTCATCAGCACTTGGCAAATACAGAATGCGTGGAACTGCCTTTATATATTACAAAAATAATCAAGCATTTAGACATTACCAGAAATTATCTTTGGTGTGTGTATCTCGGTAAAGTGTCTTCTTTTCAATGCATCTCGAAACAACTCACAAACACCACCTTGCAAACGATAAATAGCTTGGTTGGCAGGTGTTCGGAGATCAAGCACGCGATTGTCTAATCGAGTGTCTTGGTTGACGTGAATTTTTAATCCTTCAGGATCCTGTTTACAAACATTTATCATCAATCACAAAACATATTTGTTGGAATTATGTTGTTTAAAGTATAAAAAAAATAAGACATACATCAAGATTTTCTGGTCTGGCAGCATCTTCTATCTGGAGAGGGAGGCGAGCTTCAGCAGCACTTATAACAAATAACTAGAAGTAGAAACAAATAAACCAATCAGACATTTCTAATAATTCTAACTGATATTATTATTCAATGTAAAATTTAAGAACATATATAATAAATAGAATAAAGTAAGTTTATATATACTTGGACTGCATGAAGTTCGACATCTTGCTGACTACAACTTTCAATTTTCTGAGGAACGACACGAATATATCCTTCCACATCAACTATAGATTCTTTAGTAATCCTAATTTTGAATTTTAAAATAAAAAGCAAGTTATTTTCTTGTTAACAGATTGGGCAAATTGCTTTAAAATAAAGTGGTGTCCAAAATTAAGTAAACAAACACAAAATTTATAATTTTTTACCAAATACTTTATTAAAATTTATAAAATTTGGTACACAGATAGTTTATTCAATAAGTAATCAACCTAGCCTTACTGAATAAAAAAATAAGAAAAATACAAAATGTAAAAATTATACTAAATATATGCAAAACTGAGGCAGCCAATCTCTAAAAAATAGAGGTTCAATAGGGAGTATGGTCATCTCTAACTACTATACAACTCTCACAATAAGCTTATATACTGAATACCAAGCTGTAGAAGAGGTCTTGTGGCAGTAAATCTTGCTCCTCCAGTAGAGCAATTGTTAGCTCCAGGGAGTGTTCTAGAAGAGTACAAGATCCAATGAGCACCCTAGGCCATCCCAGACATGCTCTATTGGATTCAGGTCAGATCTGGCTAGCCAAATCATCCTCCAAATATCCCCACTCTCAAATAATTCATTGACCAGCACTGCCTTGCAGACAAGTATTATTGTCCATAAAAATAAATTGGAGACCAATGGTACCCCTCAAAAGTCTTACACAGGGCATAAGAATCTCATCCCTGTATCTTTGAGCAGTCAAAGAGCTTCCCTCAAACATATGGAGAGATGTAAGACCATTCAAAATGATGCCTGCCCAAACCATGAGACCCCCCTCTCCCTGATGTTAGTGGATCCAAGGTTCTTTCCATATGAAGACTCATTGAGAGTCAGTGTCTAGACTAAATCTCGACTCATCACTGAAAATAACATGGGCTCACCAATCTTGGATCCAGGACTGATGTTCATGACACCAATTCAAGTGGACTCTCCTGTGAGGAGTAAGAAGTATACATGCTACTGATTGTCTTTCAATAAAAATTTATAGCATTCTAAACATGCATTTGACAGTTCAATATATAATATAATTAATTAAAAAAATATATTTACATGCAAATTATTTTGTGTAATTATTATAACTTGATTAGAGACTTACATTGAGGCAAATTTGACCATAGCCTTGCTGATGGTCTCAGATACCGCCACAAGTCCTTGCACCGAATACTGTTGTTGACGGAGAACGAAAAAACACTGTTTACCTAAACAAAATATCAATTTTAAAATTATTACAGATTCTTCCAAATTAACTGTTTAGCTTAATTAAAGCACCATTAACAGTAGTAAAATCTGATCACTGTCATAGGTGCATTATTCAAACTTCACCGCCATTAAAAGAAGCATTAATTAAGTTGAGTAATCAGTGGCTAGATCTGTTTAATACAATAAGATGATAACTGTATTGTTTAAATATAAAATAATAACTGCTAAGGCTTTTAGATATGAGAAGAGATAGCGAGAGAAAATAATGTTACGTTTTTTCCATTCAAAGACTTAACAGAGTTGAAACCTGAAATGCATTTCAAATAATGAGGTATATGATGATGATGTTCATACAGGACTTTTACAGCAATTTATATAAAAGACATCCTGTGGTTGAAGATAGAATTACAGTCCAGTTTAGTGTTTGAAGTTTTAGCATGTTTTGACAGTATAATTTGTTAATCTTTGTATTTTATAATAATCTTCACTAAAATCTGACAAACATTAGCATGTATACCCAAAGCAAAATCCAAATCTGTGATCTAGAGTAAGAATCGCAAACCTGTGGCATGTTGTGAGAAATCACCCAGCACATAATATATATGATTTTGACACAACCAACTGATCATCCCTTCCTCAATTAGCTTCTTTACATTTATTCTAATTAAAGCATATAATTTCACTTCTTTAAACATTGTTATTTAAAATTACACACACAACTCAAACAGGAAGTTTACAATATAATCACACCTTTTCTATAATTCACAAATTTGTATGCACAAATTTACATTCTAAAAAATCTTATTCAGTTTTTTGCTAATGCTTGATGAAGATCAATGTAAAATGGCCATAAACATTTATAACATATAATGAAAGGCCATAAAAATCAAACATCAAAACTTTACCTTTTGCTCGACTTGTATGTAATCGTCCTCTCACCCATAGCTTCTGATCTGCCAAATCTGCTGTTAACTCACTTATTTTATGTAATAGTTTCTTTGGTTTATTATGAGATTGCATCATTGGTAATTTCCCGTAGAAATCTTTAGAAAAGTCATCTTCTTCGACGACTTCCTGAAATATTCATCAGTCTATAAACATTGAAAGGTTAAAAAAAAAATTATAAAAAAATACTTACCTTCTGAGCCTGTCTTTCACTTTTTCTTGCCGCTTTCTCGGCCTCTTTAGCCTGCTTTTTAAGTGCTTTTTTGGATAAAGGTTGATCACCTTCACTAAAATGATATTTAAATATTAATTTCTTAATATATCAAAGATTCACATTGCTTCATTCATTCTATACATGATCTAATGTTAAATATTATAGACTACAGTCAATAAGCAAGCAAGCAGAAAATATGCAGAACATTTGAATTACTCATAAGTTACATAATGTTATTTTATATTTTTATCCTTTTCAACTACCATCCCTGTTATAATGCTCTCTAATACTGTCAATTACATTCCCCCACTAAAATTTATATAAGGCATATCTCTGATCAACCCCCTTAACTAAGGCACTGATTTTCAACCAGAGTGCTGGAGAATATAGTGCCGAGCAGCTTCATAATGCTTCTTACAAGTATTATTAAAAGTATGAAATGTGCATTAATTCTAATACAAAAGCAGAGTGCCGCAAGATAAAATTACCAAGTTGGAGTGCCAGTATTAGAAAACAGCTCAACAGAGGATACTAATTGTTGCATTATTTAATTACATGTATAACATACAAAGCAATGACAAACATGATTCACTATATGATACTTCAGAAACGAGAATAAATCACTGTTATCCAAGGGTCAAGAATCTAGTTTTGTGAACATCCCCTAATTACCCACTCACATCTGTGTTACATAATTTATGGACAGCCCCTTTGTTGACGTACGTATGTATGAAACATGATAGAGTAAAAATGATGGTAAAGTCACATAGCCTAATTTCACATTATTAATAAGCAAAAAAACCACTTTTTAACACTAATTTTGATTTATTGCAATTTTCTTCAAGTTATTTATGAAACTTAAATAAATATTCACCAATTTTCATACATTATAACTTAGTTTGTGACAGAATATTATAGATAAAATTCTAATTATGTTGAGATCCAAATGTGTACAATTACACCTCTGAATAAGACAGTTGGACCTTATCAGAGCTGTAGACCATACCCATAGGAGCAATAAAGTCAAAGAAACCACACCTCTACATGCAACCCTTGGCAAAATACGGATCCCCGAAATAGGTCCACTTTCAGATCGCAGGCAATCGGGAGTCGCATCGCTCTGCCAAGACTACCGCATTTAGCTATTTAGTCCACACAACTATTCTGGCTTTGAGCAGTCCACTTGACTGTTCATTGGTTACTTGATGTTATACAGTCATATGGGAGATTTGGAGACTCGTCCACACGCAGGCTATCACTCACGCATACATGCAAAGCATGGAGAATAGACACTATACTGGTATATAGTAAAAGCTGATCTTCTGACCTTTGGAGGCAAATATCTAGCCTGTACGGGTATGGTTCCTTTGACTTTTTTGCTCGTACAGGGGTCTACAATTCTGGAAGTAAGGTAAGAAACCTCTCATTCAGAGTTCACATCTTACTTCTAAATGTATTATTAATAAAACAACAGTTTAATTAACATAATTTTGGTAGAAGTTACGGTATACCGAAGTTACTATTAGGTCATTGAACTATATATAAATATACAAATGAATGGACTACAAGTAACTTCTACCATACATGTTTTGATCTTTAGATCTCAGTCATCAATTTAATTGAATATTTTATATATATATAAATTCTTTAAAAGGATAATAAAATTGATAAGCTTCCAACTCACCTTTTAAAGAATTTATATAATGTTAATTTTGTTGTATTTTTACATAAAAAGCTTCTGGTTAATCTAAACCACATTTTCACTTAATACAAATTTTTTAATATTAATTTATGTAGATTCGATTTTATAATTATTTACCCAGCCTTTTCTGGACTTTCTCGGGCCATTTTAGTCTTATTTTGAATTTAAATAGTTCATAAGTTAAAAATGTCGACTTTTCCAGTCAACAACGTGTTTGACACGTGACCATACAGAAAGTGTTGCCAGATATGTATTTAAAATCTATTATTATCACTTTTTCTTAATACAGTAATTTCAAACATATAAAAATTAATCCGTTTTAAAAATGTTTTATAATTTTTTATATTTATTTATAAAATATTATTTTATGTATATATTTGTTATTAAAAGCAATTTAATTTGTGTGTGTGTGTTTTTTTATTTAAATATTTAAAATTTAAAAGTCTTGCATCTGATTGGATCATTTGAAAATTTGAATTAATATTTTTAGTTCAATTCTTTAATATTCTTTATTAGTTCATTTGAAATGATTAAATCTTCGCTTACAAATTAAAGTAAAAGCAAGGAATTCGTACTGTGATTACTTATTTATACAAACTGGCAGGTTGTCAATGCTGTAAAGGCGTCAAACCCGCTCCCTGAGAGGTCTGGATTCGAGTTCGGATCTATTCACAGAAACTTTCAAGGGGCCTGATACGCCTAATGTTGTTGTATGCAATTTAATTTTTACTCTTTCAGTCCTGCAGGCACTAAAATGGCCTTTTTATCAAATTCATCGTACGTTCGGTTAAGCCCATAGTGGGGCGGTGGGTGGTGAGCGTCGGCCCGACATATCTGGGATTGCCTACTCCCGAAAAAGGCTTCTGGTTTTATAACTCGTTCGGATTCGTGCCCGGGTTCTCCAAAGAGGTAGGCTGACATTATAACAGCTCAGCCATCCGGCTATATGTTGTGTGCACTGTGTAAAAATTTCGCCGTAGTTTAAGCGGTTTTTTATGTTTATTAGCGCTTAAATTTTGAACTTAGTGCCATAGTGTTAATGTAGCACTTTATTTAACTCTAAATTTAGCTTTTATAACAAAAGAGTGATTTTTATTATCATTAAAGATCATATATGAACAGCCTTGTCTGATCAGCTAAATTTTCCATAGTATAAAAAAACTAGAAAGTCGAGTTGATCACACAAGTATTTATTTTTCTTAATTTCTTCACCAGAAGCAACGTCCATTGATCTAATAAAAATCTTCGGAAAGTCATATCTTTATCTGTTCAACAGAGAATTCGCTAAAATAGACTACATGTAGCTGCATCTTGCTTTCAAACTTAGAGGAAGCCAACCAATGGTCGAGTACACAAAACCTCTGAACTGGCTAGCTACTTGAATTTTCCGGGTTTTTTTCGTGTGTTAAATAGGGAACACTTACTAAAACACCTTTTCTTGCAGCCGACGCTTTATTATAACGACTTTCAAACGTTTTCGATCTTATATATTTCCGGTTACAATGACGTCATGTACAACGGATTATAAGCGAGTTCGAAAGATTTAAAAAACAGTTATTCGTACTAAGCGTTCGATTTACGATTATGTCGTTTATTTTGTTACTTAGTTAATTTTATTTTCTTGAGAAAGGTCTTTTAATAAGATCGAAAACGTTTGAAAGTCGTTATAATAAAGCGTCGGCTGCAAGAAAAGGTGTTTTAGTAAGTGTTTTGATATTATGCAGTCTAGAAAGAATTAAATAGGGAACAATTTTCCATACAAAGTTCTCCCAGAGGCATTGTAATCCTCGTGCATTAAAACTTCTAATGAATCAGGAACATGTAGTAAACTTTTTAGAATTTCTTTCGTATGGCAATATTGAATTTAAAATAATTTTGAAACATGATGGTTCTTTTAAAAATCGAAAAATTACACTTGAGTATGAGGTCAATAAAATGATCTTGTTTCTACAATATATCAGCCTACTACTTTGAATAATGATGCCAGACGTCCTTTATTTCAAAGGACAATTTTTTTTTTAACTAAACTGTTTCCATCCTTTATTGAAATTATAAAGGATGCAATTTATTCAATTATTGATATTTCCATTTTTAAATGCCGATGATTAAGGTTTGAGAGTGATAACATCAATTACTTTTAAGTGTCCTTCAATCTAGTCGTAGAAATCTGACAACCTTATCGCTAGAGAACTTGGGTTCAAACCCAGGAAGATTCCTGGGATCGCTCTCTTGAACGGGTATTGTCCCGCACCTGTTAGTCTTCATCCATCTCCACTATAGGGCCTGTCAAATCTGTTATAGATAGAAAAAAGCCTTCTCAGTGCCCTCACGACATATAGACCCAAAAATAAAATGCAACTATTATGGATTCATCATTGTCTACAAGGGAGCGGGATCCATAGTGAGCATAGTAAAACGTCTTTTTTAGTGCCGAAAGTGTAATGAAAATATTAATATTTCCTTGATGTTTTATTAAATATACTCATTATCATTATTATTTATAATAAAATATTTAATTTTTTTCGAAAAATTAATTAATTAATTTAATTAAATAGCACAATTACACATGATTTTTCTTTTATCATTGAACGATTGGTTTGATGGAACACGGCAACGCAACACGTGGGCAATCTGCCAAGGGGGAGGACTTTTTATGGGTAAATTGGCCACTATTTACACGTTAAACCTAGAAAACTACATGTGGCATGCATGATAGTGAGGCGCTACAAAAATCTGACCTATATTTAGATGTTAGACATGCGAAGAAAACCCAGAAAATTCCACGTGGAAGGCATGAGGCGCGAACCCACGACCATTGTTTACCAGCTTTATCTACTCGGCCACTGATAGGCCTTTTATCATTCAAAAATTACAATTCTGAAAGTTTTCTTCCTTATTCTAAGATAATATAAAAAATTTCTATACTTTTGCTTATAATATTTATGATTTATTCAGTTAAAAACAGACTTTAATTAATCTAAAATTAAGAAAATTGTTTACAAAACTTCTGAGTTTGAAATTTGGTTTTTTAATTTAAAAACTTGTTATTATTATTTTTTTAACAGCATAGTAACACATTTTATCCAAAACTATCAAAACTAAATTTTCTTTTTATCATTAGCAAAGTTTAGAAGTGACATTGAAATTATCTGTTTAATTATATCATATAAAACAATACAAACAGATGGTAAGAAACTTATATTGTAGATTAAATTCTGCCATAAAATATAAGATAGATACTTCATGTGTAATATAAAATTAAAGAGTGTTTTATGATAACTTTTACTTATCAAGGCTTTAAATTAAAGTAATAATTAAAGCCTAGTTCATTCTTTAAGCAAACCATTACTAATTTCCAATTAATAAGGATAAAAAATAATGTGTATGATTTTAAATAAAATAATTTAAGGCTTTGAAAACTTAAAAAAAAAAAGTATTTTCCCATGTTTCATTACCTTATCAATTATTAGATTAGATTTAATTCTAAATTAATTTTAGACTATTATTTATTATTAATTAATATTAAATTATTTTATTTCAAGGAATAAACTACAGGTTTAACCATTAAAGCTTCATAGGTGATCATAAAATAATAAATAATATTGAGAAGAGATAATAAATTTTCATGTTTTAGTAATATTAATGATTTTTCTATAATATTATAACTTTCATTTTTCTTGAAAATATTATATAAGTTGTCCTTCATGGAGCTATACATTAATTAAAATAACCCAATTTCAATATAATATTTACTCATAACTTACAGAAACAGGAAGATATTAAAAGTCGTATAACACACGTGGAAGATCTAAACATGTTTACACATTTAAATTTTGAATATACAAACCGGAAATGCGTCATATCATTTTTTAAATCTAAAATTACTTGTAATCGATATCTTCTGTTTTCTTATCTGAATTAATATTTTTTGTTTAGAAAATATTGATATTAATTCAATTTATGACGCATTAATAAAGTTTGATTTGAAGAAAAAAAAATCGAATAAAAAAAAAGCAGACGATTTTTACCATGCGCCAAAATTCGTCTGCTATTTTTTTCATTTGAAATTTTTAAATAATACTACTTAATTTTTAAAAATAAATTAATATAATTTCATTATATTATTATTCGTACCTCGATGCAATAAAATAATATATAATTAACGAATTTAATAATTATTATTTTTAAATTAATGTCGATTTTACTTATCTCAAAACTAAATTTGATGATAATGTCATCGGAACAGCTGATGTTAATTTCTGATTATTAGTTTCTCATTAAATTTTAATAATGTTCATGAGTCAAGTTGTCAAAATATCTCGAGGACATTTATCACGTTGGGTTTAATTAGCGCACCTTTAATTCTTCATATTTTTCCATCTGATTTCATCGAAGAAGATAGAAAAATTTTCGTAGAATTAATAGCAAAAACATTATCGGTAGCCGAAAATAAAGGAAATGAAAACGAGGAAGTTAGTTCGGCCTTCGGGAAAGCTAACTTTAGGGGAAGGGGTGTCGCTAAAACCTCACATATTACGTCACTAAGATTATGTTACGTCACACGCATAAGGTAGAAAAATCGTTTCGCCATCCCAGATGACACACACAGAACATCCAAACAGCAGAGATGCATTCGATAAGTATTTTTTCTATCTTCATATCTATAATTTACTCTGCTCAAGCAGATTTTAAAGTATATTGGGAAGTTCCTTCTTTTCTTTGCAGTAAAAAGTATAAAATTAATATAACGCAAGACTTAACGAGTCATAAAGTATTAGTTAATCAGGGAGAGGGTTTTAATGGAGATAAAATAGTTATTTTTTATGAAAATCAACTCGGAAAATACCCTTATATCGATCCTACTAAAGGTGACGTTAATGGAGGCCTCTTGCAAGTAAGTTATGACTTTCTTTACCTATTTCTCTTTGTTAAATTGAATTTATCAACTCTCTTATGTTCGAATTCTTAATCAAGGAACATGCGTCAGGAGTTAACCAATTATCATTTATTTTACTTTAAGTACGAGAATGCTTATTGGTTAACTTCTGACTCAAACCCTCAATCCTTAGTTGAGAAAAGAGCAATGCAGTGAAAAGGCTACACTTTACTCCGAAAAATTAAATATTTTGTCAAATTTTTCAGTAATCTTTATGCCTGTATTACCCTCGATAAAAACATCAAAAGTATATTTTTTAAAGCAACTTTAATTCTTTTATTTTATCCACTTTTCCACAAAGCCTCTTCCAATTATAAAGTTGTAGTTTGTTATCAGATAAAAGAGTTGAGGAATGAGTTTCAGAACCCGGAAAAGAACCTATTGAACTCTATATTTTAAAGGAAATGACGATAGTAAAGTTATAATATATCCGGTCAATATTATCTTTACCATGTTCTGGTTAAAAAAAAAAAGGGTCATTGAACAAACAAACGTCGGTTACGTTCAGCCTTGAACCATAGCAAAATCCTTTTCTTTGGAATCATTAAGATAAGAAATCGCTGCAAAGTTATTGAAACAAGGTCATGGAAATTTTACATTATTAACTTTTCTAAACAAAATTTCTGTTTACTGTATATGTCATAAATGTGTGCTGTATACAGTTTCAAGTATGAATCATCTTTATATAAATAATAATAAGTATTGCAAGGCTAATAAATAGTACGAATCATGGTTTCGTATGGTTTATACATGCTCTAATTTAATGAAAGTGGATTAAATTATGTTATAGAATTTTATATTTACATAATAAATCGAAATGAAATTAATTATCAAATTGTATATACAATTGTGCAATTTACAATCGAATGTATGAAAATGCCTTCTAAGGGAACATATAGCAATTTACCGAATAAATTATTGGACATATATGAATCGACTTTCAAGTGTAAAGTTGCGTGTGGCATATAATAAAGGAATCATGTATATTAAGGTGGTGCCAGAACTTTTTGGTGCATGTCGATTTCCGGGAAGATAAATCAATAGAATTCAGGGGCAATTACCTAACTTACAACCCCTGTTTGCACCCCTGCATGTATCGTAATGTGGTGTATTGTAAAATACCTCATTACCATTATTTACATTATAGATATACAATAAGTATAAACGAAGATGACTCAAATGATACGATGACGAGCCTAAGTGAATGCACTGAAGAATATGCATTGTTTTTATTGGGTTTATAAAAAGATGAAATAAAAATACCTTATACTAGTACATTAATAAATTCTTTATATGAAATATTGTTAAGAAATAGTATTTACATATAAAGAATGATTTATTTAACGGTTCAGAATCAACTTTTTTACATTGCAATGTGTGAATTGTAGAGAATAATTACAAAGTTATGGTCTTTCGCTTAATTTAAGAAAACTGAGTCTCATTCATAATTTATTTAAATGTTTTACACTTTAAAAATAAACTAATGTTAAATTCATTTATGACGGGTTTATGACTGTATAATTTTTAACCATTTTATAGTCTATTAGTAAATAAATCGAGCATCCTAAGATAAAATTTATGAGTGATATCTTCATAAATTTAACCTTCTATTTTTTTTTTTAACTCTTTTCGTCCTGCAACTACTAAGAGGATTTTTTCTTGTCATTATGGAACCGATAAGGCTCACAATGAGAATAGCCAGATATTAAAAAATGGAGTTCGATATATATGAATGATTGACCTTGATTTGTCAACATCCATGAAGATTTCTGAGGATCCAATCTAATGGCGGATCCAGAAAAACCCAAAGGAAGCTAACTCAAAAAGTAAAAATATTTGAATAATTACAAGTATCTTTTATTAACATGATTATATTGCAGTGGTTCGATAAATCACACTTGCCGCCAATACAGTAACTAGTTTTTAAAAACAACTTTTGAAGTTCGAACAAATGAATTTTAATTGTTTTGTATCAATAAGGAGGGTTTAAGTCCTTGTAGCCTCCGTGGAACCGCCTTTGATCCGACCAGTATTCGAATTTTCCTCCAAGTTTGTATTTTTACCTTCTTCTCCACTTTCCATTTTAATAATTTCATTAATAATTTTTTGATCTTATTTTACTTTTCATGATTTACAAGAAGTGTTATTTGATTTTAAAAAGAAATGAAATGCTACTAAAACGCCATCGATTGGAAATAATCGAAACAGATTTTTGAATGAAATTTTAAAGAAATGCAACTGTTAAGAACTTTTACTACGGTGAAAATTTGTAATTATTAATGAATCAAAACGATTAAATTTTGAAGAAGCTAAATAATTAAGTAGACTGTTTTGCTCTCAGATTTTCTAAAGTTTCGTCAAAAGTTGTTCCTTCTATCGATCCGGATTTACGTCCCATTCAAATACTACTTAATCTCATTGTGGGTCAGACCTTCCATAATGTAAAAAAATCGAAGCCTGTCTTATGTCTAATTATATTGCGAATTCATCTTAGGACTGCTTAATACTCACAATTGCATCATTGTTACTTTTATGGTTTTCTAACGTAAATATAGTAGTGTTCATTGGTCGCTTTCAGATGGACCACTTAGTCGCATCCATTTACTTTTCCGTTGAAATCAATGTATTTTGAAGCTATGCTTTCACACGAGCGTTAGTGTCGCACGTCTGTGGTAACGAGTCGCGGATCTCCATCACAAGTAGCACCACAATAGCGTGAAGCTTTTCGCACGGATCACCGAGTGATGTCACTTTAGTGGGGCATCTGAGTCGCTGATATACGCGACTGAGTAGCGCAACCCAATGGCGTGACCGTCTAAAAATGGCTTTTATCTTTTTAGTAGTCTAATTTCATAATATTTTCTACTTTTAGGTAGCAGATTTAAAAGAGCATTTAAAGGTATCGAAAGATGATATTACGAAATTTATACCAAATCCAAAGTTTGATGGAATTGGTGTGATAGACTGGGAATCGTGGCGCCCTAGCTGGGATTTTAACTGGGGCAAAATGAAAGTATATAGAGAAAGATCGATAGATCTTGTAAAAAGTAAACATCCAGATTGGTCATCAAAGAAAATTGAAGAAGCTGCTATAAAAGAATGGGAAGACAGTGCCAAGTAAGATGATTTAATATTATCAAGTGATTTCAAAGGTATATTGCTTTGAATTTAATATTAATACTAACTTTCCTCGATTTTAGGGAATGGATGTTGAAAACATTGAAACTTGCTGAAGATATGAGACCTGATGCAGGCTGGTGCTACTATTATTTTCCTGATTGTTATAATTACAATGGGAAAGATCAACCATCACAATTTACTTGTAACGCTAGAGTGCGGGAGCAAAATAGCAGGTATATTTCTATTTCTTTTATTTTAACCAAACTATTCGCAAAAGTTTTCACTACATCAATATTTTACAGATTATCTTGGCTGTGGAATCAATCTACTGCACTTTGTCCATCTATTTATACTCAAGAATCTCATATAAAAAAATATAATATGTCTCAACGAGCTTGGTGGATTGATGCACGATTGAGGGAAACCATGAGGGTAGCCAACCCTAATACACCAATTTATCCGTACATAAATTATGTTTTACCGGGTACTAATGAAACAATACCATCGGTAGGTAAAAATTTAAATTTACATATATATAAATATAACGATCGATTTTAAAAAACTGCAATCCTTATATACACTTTATTGTGCAGATGGATTTCAAGAGGATGCTAGGGCAAATTGCTTCACTTGGTTTAGATGGCGCTATCATTTGGGGTTCTTCTTATCACGTTTTAACTAAATCACAGTGTGAACTGACGGCTACGTATGTGAAAGATGTGATGGCTCCTACAATAGCTACTGTGGTACTCAATACAAATCGTTGTAGTCAAGTAATTTGCAAAGGAAGAGGACACTGTTATTGGCCAGATGAACCATTTACTTCCTGGAAATATTTAATAGATCCTAAACTGCCTGTATTCAAGCCTACTAATATTTCTTGCAAATGTAAAGGTTATACCGGACGTTATTGTCAAATTGCACCTTAATGTTGTATCCAAGATTGCATTGTAATTTTAACGTGTTCAATATTGAATTATTATTTAATGTAAATTTTAAGACTCTTTTAAATAATTTAATGATAAAAATTGTTTTTAACATATAAAATAAAGGGATAATTTTGGTCTAATGTTCAATTATTTATATAATTGTTCTCAAGACGTATAAAAATTTCTCAAACGGCAGATTTAAAATCGACATTCAATACTATATTAATACAAATAACTTACTGTTTCCTTATAGTTTCATGCAATGTATGTAATGTAAAAATTAACATACGTGGCCACCAGTGTCCAATTGAATAAAATTATTAAATTTTGAAAGTTGATAGCGGGTTCGCGCCTGACCAACTTTTTTTTTAATTAACTCTTTCTGCCCTGTGGACACTAAGAGAGCCTCTTTTTGCAAGCCCATTATGGGTTCGGCCAGGCCCACAATGAGGTTGCCGGGTGGTGAGGGACGGGGCCCGACATATCCGAACGGACCACCCCCGAAAAATTCCTGGGGATTTTTTCGACCCGTTCGGATTCGAACCCGGGTCCCCCAGAGCTGTAGGCTGCCACCCTGACCGCTCGGTCATCCGGCCGCTCGCCTGATCAACTGGCTGGCCACGTAGCGTTTTCTTCATGTATCTAACATTTAAGTAGGGCCAGTTTCCCCATAGAAAGTTCTCTCAGGAGGCATCCCCTTGGCAGATTGACCAAGTGTCGCGTTGCCTTTTTCCATTAATCCAATCTAATCTAATTAATAAGCAGTACAATATGTAATAATCGTGAATCGACTGATTTAAGCGAACTGTCACAAATTATAATTAACATATATATAATTTGACTTATCAAAGAATACTTAGTTAAGCGACACGCAACGCTTTTATTTATTCTTATGTCATTCAGACAGCGGTATGGTAAATGGTAAGATGCCAAAAAGCTGTGTAGGATTCCAGTTCGAATTGAATCCTAATGCCATAATTTTATCATGCATAATACAAAGCAAGGTGTCGTGCCCTATCTTTCAATCATGTTGTCTAGTAGTATTGTGGGTCTGGTTGTTTGTCATAAGAGAAATTGTGGAAGACCATAAAGCATTTATGTATTGGTTCTTATGTGAAACCCCAAGTTAGGCAAATCAATTAACCATATCATTATTTTAAAATATTATTGGGACTAACGGATTACGAGTCATTGGGGTTGGCGTCAATCATTAGCCTGGTCTCTCACACTTCTAAGATTCTTCTGAGAATAGTGGGAAAACGACCATATAGGAAACTGAATTAATATGTCGGAAAAGAACAATTCGGATTCAGAAAAGTAATAAGTACCAGGAATGGGATAGGAATATAGAGAACAATTGGAGAAAGACAGTGGCGTGTTATAGGCCACTGTCTTTCATAAGGCCCATAAGAATTTGAAATAGACGTTTCCATATACAGTGTTGACTTCAGACATTTTCTTCGATAAAATTTTTCGATTGAAATACAGTATTTTCTTATAAAAGATTGATGGACCTCCAGGCAATTGCCTTTTTTGCCCTTAGGGAAACGTATCACTAGAGATAGATTTTTCATAGGCATTTTGATAATGTGGATTGGAGGAAATTACTAGATATTTTAAGATAGAAAGGTGTTGATTGGAAAGAAAAAAAAAAAAATATATATATATACAGTAGACCCCCTATAACGCTTAGATAAGTTCCACTTTATAAGAATTTTACGTTGTAGGAATCCTTAAATACATGAGCCAATCACAGCCTGACACGTGTGAAGTTTACGGACTACAGCTGTTTGAAAGGTTTTCTTCCATAAAATTAATCGATTCTAGACTAATCCGACTCAACATTTCCAAAATACGTATATATTTTTTTGGAAATAATCCGTATAAACTACGCTATAAACAAAAGATTGTAGGATTACTTACCGAGTGTGCACCATTCGACGTCGCTATTGCTTAAGCTTGTTTTCGTCGCGAAGCAGCACACCAAACGGCGGCCGCGATTTCTGATAAGTTATTTTTCTGCGAAAACTTCGTTGAACTTTGGAGACATCATTAATATAAATAATTTTTATGGCCGTTTAATAAGAAATGTTTCTTTCACAAAAAATGTATAAAATTAGTACTGTATTAGACTTACGGTAACTAATTTACATACTGTACAGACGATAGTAAACTCAACTTACTCGCCTAAACTTTCCGTAGCGTGGCGCTGGACGGTGGAAAGTAGTTCGGCTGCTCATCCACTATTGGTCCAGATTCGACCAATCATGTCGCGACACGAGTCGGCGACGACGTTTTATGAGTCCCTTTATACAAATACTGCCGCAATTTTTTCGCTACGTTATAGGAATTTCCGTTATAGGGGGGTCGACTGTATATGATTCTCAACCTATACAAATACTAGAGAGCGGTCATAAAAATAAAAGAAAATTTCAGTGGAAAGTTTTGTTTTAGAAGGGCATTAAACAGGAATACTGTCTATTGCCAATTCTCTGTAATATATATCTGAAAGAAATGGTACCTGAGTCTCTTCGTGAAAAAGGAGGCACCAAAATAGGAGGAATACGAGTAACAATACAATGTTTAAGATTTGCTGATGATGTGTCTCGTCTTGTGAAAAACGAAAACCACCTGTAACAGATGTTGAAGAGATTTAAAAAGAAGTTGTGAGAGACTTACGATGAAGTTTAATTAATGTAAGTAAACCTAAAGTATTCTGAATTAAAGAAGAGGACAGAACAAACACGAATTTATAATTAAAAAATTGAACAAGTCGATGGCTTCAGATATATGGGTACATAGATTAATTTTGATTGCAAAAGTGGAAAAAAAATAACAAGAAGAACTAGAATGGAAAAAGGAGGTGACAATAAAATGAAAAAAGTACTGTGTGAACGAAAACCTGGACTCTGAGCAGAAATACATAATGAGAATAGAAAGATTACAAATGTACTGTACATCCGGAGAAGAATAGAAAAAATATATATATAGATAAACAAGATGAGTAATGATGAAGTTCTGAAAAAAGGTGAATGAAAACGGGGAATTAACAAAGGATGTAAAGAGAAAAATAAACTAACTGGTTAGGTCATGTGATTAGGGAAGGTGGCCTATTCATGAATGCTTTAAACAGAATTATAATCGGCAGAAGAAAGAGGGAAAGAAGAACAATGATGATTGATGACCGAAAGGAAGGAATTATCAATAGCTACAAGGACTTAAAATCAAGACATGGAAGTCTGGATGCGGACCTGCTGGCAATAACAGATCTCCAAAGAGAAAGAGATTCTTAAAAATTCGTATTGATGTTTAACTACGACGAAAACAAATACAGTCCACATTGCAACATAAAAGGAATTTTATAGACTATACCATTATAGTCTGTACGGTTTCTATTCCTAGTCCTATACAATTTCAGAAAATACAATGTATCTAGTAGATGAATAAATCGAAACGAAATAAAATACTTGATGCCATATTTCCGTTAATCGAATTAATTAGTTTTGTAACGATTTCCACTTTTTATTTTAAAACTTTTATTTTTTAATTTAAAATATATCTCTACTTTAAATTAATATAGTAGTTTTTACACCAGTCGCTATCTCTCAATAGCACGGTCGTGCGGTCAAAGTGACAGTCTACTGCTCTGAATCACCCGAGTTTGAATCCGGACGGATCGATAAAATTCCAAGAATTTTTTAGGAATTATAATTAAAAATATGTACTAAAATTATATAAATTTATTGAAAACATTTTATAATAATACATTAAAAATAAAAATAATATTAATAATTTCTCAGCTGGCAACACTGCTATTCGAATGGACTTAGTAATCAGACGATAAAAATGGTCGGAAATGGTGGAAAGGTCGTTTGGTTCTGAGCTAAACAGGAATATGTCCTCAGAAATTAATGATTTCCAGTGGAATGATTCGCAGGAAGAATCTGTAGATCCCAGAGTACAAGTTAGTCCTAATATATATTATTGTATTGTTGAATTAAGGATTATTCTGTGATTTGATTACTTTAATATGGAAATTTGTGTAGATGTTACTTTTATTTACTTTGCTCCTACGTACGTACATAAATAAGAGACTTAAAGGTAACTTCTGCCGAAATTTGATCATTTCGTGCTTCAGATTCGTATAAATTCGAAAGCAAAGCTTTAATTTATGTGAATGATGCCATTTGTATTTATTCTATAAATAAACTTTAATGTGAATTGTTTTTAATACATAATCTATGAAAATTTACTTAAAATCATCATAAAAGTGCATTAAAAACACAAAAATTACACTTCAGAATGAGATGGGTTGGGATCTTATTGGAGCTGTAGACCGTATTTGTACGAGCAAAAAAGTCAAAGGAACCGCAGCTCTGCATGCGAACCTTGGTGAGATACAGCCCCGCGAAATTGCCCCACCTGAATCGCGATTGACACATGCGATTGTGCCGGCTTTGGGAGGTCCACTTGACCATTTGTTGGTACTTGATGTTATGTGGTTTTAGGGGATGTGGGGGCATGACTACACATGAACTGTTGTTTGAGACGAGCAATAGCCAGCCTTGACTGATGCAGAGCGTGAAGAATAGGCAGTAGTACCAGTACACAGTAAAAACTGACTTTCGGAGGTGAATATGTCGTAAAGGGCCGCATGCTTGGGTATGGTTCCGTTGACTTTTTTATCTGTACAGGGGTCTATAACTCTGAGGGGGTGGCAAATCTCTCGTTCAGAGTTCACATCTTACTCTAAAATTTACTTATGATATTAAGAAAACATTGTAGAAATGATCTAGTTCATATTTATAATAATAATTACTTTTAATTTGTTAAATTAGTTGTTAATGTGTGCTTTTAATTACAGACATAAGTTTTGTAGCATGGAATTGAAGTTAATGATGAGGATCCTCAGTCAGTGTTAAGTCATCAGTGTTTAAAAGACTGCATCCATACCACTATGTGATTGGTTAAACTGCCTGTTAAACTTTTTGGTAACTACGCTGACTGCATGTCCTTTTTGTCAATATAGCTTAAATTCATTCCTCCTTACTCTGTATCATGCTGTGAAAGAATAAACAAACATTAATGTAACTCTAATGGGGCCAGACTTATGAGATACACTGTAGTAACTAAAATTAATTTAAATTAAACATGCATATTAGGGGTACATAGGTTTTATTACATTTTCAGGCAGATTTTATGGAGAATACTATTGAAACTATGGTTTATTTGGTCTATTTACTTGTATAGTGAGAATTTGTAATCTTTGTAAAGTCCAACAGTTTTCAAATGAAAGTTAACCTTGGGTACTTGTACAAGTGTGTAAAAGTTGCACTTTCTTCTGGACAGGTTCAAAGCTACTACTTAAGGCATTCCTGCTTGGCTTATGTAATCTTCGGTGTTTGGCTGTACGAGTGGTAAGCATTCAGGTTGTGATTCCTGTATACGATATATAGAATTTTAACAAAAATCTTTAAAAATAAAGGTTTTATTTTTGCCATATTTTTCCAACCCATCTCGGGTGGCTACTAACAAATAATATAGACAATCTTGTTGTATCGGAAAAATGTGGCTTTTAAAAATCTCTGTTAAGCATTACAACTTGTTATGCTAGTGCATCTTATATAGAAGCCACAACCAGAATGTTGACCACTCATATTGCTAAACCTCAAAGGAACATTACACAGGCCAAACAGGCAACATAGTTAAGTAGGAATGTCTTAACCACTCAGCAGTGAGTGATGAATATATTCGTCAAGGGTGATCATGTGGCAGTGGTGAGGGATGTATATATATGTCAAATTCTTTTGGAGGTATCGCCAAAAACTACCGTGAAAAAAAAATTCACATAAAAAATGAATTACAGTAATACCTCGACTTACGCAAACCCAGAGTTACACGATTTTCAAATCTCGTCGATTTGTCTTTTGTTTGAGCGCCACGCAACTCTTGATTACTCACCCTTCCACACTATTGTTCAGCTTTCATGTTCAGACGTGTTGTGCGGAATCGACACATAGCTACAATTTATTTTGTGTTATTTATTTCTGTGTTTGTTATATCTACAGAGACTTGAGAGGCTCTATGTGGTGATTTCTTGTAACCATGAATGAATCAATAGACAAGATAAGATTAACGAGAACATTTATTAGCTTACATATATCCGACTTGGATTTTACACAAATTGCAAAATTATACCCCGACTTACGTGAATTCGACTTATGCGATTATCACTCGGTCCCACCTATCACATAAGTTCGGGGTATTACTGTATGTAACAATAAAAAAAGACTTTTCTTTACTAGACATAACTGTTTGCAAAATTTTTTTCTGAAATAGTAATGAGAAAAAAACGTGTGGAAAAATACTAAAAATTTTGCACGTTTATTCTCCACTACTAAGGGTTAGCACCATACCTGACTATTCCACTGTTGAAAGGTTAAGGGGTAACTTTTGAACCTGTCTGGAAGGAACTGCAACTGTTACAGGTTTGTACAAATTTCCAGGTTAACTTCTGTTTGGAAGACAACATACATCTTACATAGCAACCCTTGTAATTCTGTGTTCAAAGGTTTTTGGCTTGGATGGTATTACAAGAAAATATATATTAGCACTTTTATTTTTTTTTCCATGCAGCATTGATTGTAGTCCTTTTTGAAAACTTTGTGAAATTTTGATCCAGAAAACTTGCATTTATAGCAAATAAAATAATGAATTAGTTGGAAATTGTAAGTATGAAATATGATATTAAATAATAATAATAATAATAATGGAAATATAAAATAATTATGACATTTGCTATAAAAAAAATTATTACATTCTGCAGCATGATCTGACAATTATGCAGCAAAATGTAGTGAAGTAAGTTTCTAATATCTATGCTGAATTAATAAATTGATATCAATATTATTGAATGACATATTGATAGATGAAATCAATTCAACAAGAGAATGAATTGTTCTTGTTAAAATATTATCTTGTTAAGACTGGAGAAAGTAGAAGCTATATAGAATTGTACAGAATCACAAATGAAAAGATAGTAAAATGACAAAAAAGCAGAATTTGTTATTTGTAATTTGTAATTTTATCATTGACAAATATAATTACACAAATTTCAATTGTAGAAGTGCTATAAAACTGGATTAATTGTCAGACTAGAACTTAGCTAATTAATTTCATGGATATTAGGCACATTCTAACTATACTTAATCCAGGCATATTTTTTGGTCATTAGAATAATTCAGGCATGGTGGTGGTTATGTTTTTGTAGAAGTGTTGTTAATTTCCTATAAATTTTTTTATTACTCTTGTAGCCTATATAAAGAATGTTCTCTGTATAGATATCAGAAAAACTGTTAATTTTTTATCTTATCTAAAAAGATCAGTTCTAAGGAACTTTTTTTCCTTTTCGTTATCATTTATCATTTTATTTTTAATTTTTTTTAGTATATTCAGCTAATTTACATTTCGTTTTCTACTATCTTTTTTTATGTTCCTGAAACTTTTTCTTCCTTGCTCTACTAAGAATATTGTCATTGAGCTCTTAATAACTTTCAGAATAAATAACCTGAGTTGCATCTATGAATGTGTCTGGCTAATTATAAGTCTAAATTAGTTGAGCAGGCCAAATGCAACCTCCAGGACTTTGGCAATTTAATTTTTTTCCTGTTTTCTGTTTTGTGCTGTCATACAACCCAAATTAAGCTACTGTTCATGATGAAAATCCAAACCAAACTAGATCAGTAAACACATGAGAATAAACTATACATTACTAATGTGCATATCATTAGTATGTATTATTTAATACCTAGTGCACTGGAAATTAAGAAGTATGCTGGTACTCAGCAAGTTTAAAGCCTGCTATTCCATAGGAAAAAATGCATGAGACCTACCAGAAGCCTATGAAATTTGCTTGCGACTCGCATCTAGAAAAGGTTGCTCATTGCTAGTGTGTTGGCTTAGCTGAAACGCTACTCCATTTTATTGTAACATTATTGTGGCTGTTGCTGTAATATTTATCTACCACAGATTTTCCTGGGACTGCTTTAAATTTTTCCCATGAACCTTGTTGTGTGTTTGGACATATTCTGTACCCTTGCAAACCAGAACTTGTTTTTTTTTTTTAACATTGTGATATTTTTAAGCTGTTTTATGGCTGAGTAAAAGTAATAAAAACAAACATTAAAATTTAAACCATATTGAAATCATACTTTATGCCAAGTCAAATCAACTGTGTTATTTCAAAAACTACTACATACAGATGACAACTCCTATACTCGTTGAATTTATCACTAAGAATATAATTCATGGACTGTGTAGCATCCTCCATTAATTTGTATGCTTATGTAATAATGCATTAAACTTAAATCATCACAAAGTGTAGAGGGAATTAAATCAGTGGTGTCCAGGATTTTTATGATAGCCTAGGTCCACCTATGGATTCTAGAGTGTGACTGAAAAATTTGATCCAGATTGGTCAAAGGGTTTAGAAATGTAAAGGAAATAGACAGACATTCAATTTTTATATATAGACAATTGTAATGTGTACAGAATAAATTTGATGGACACAAAAGGAGGGACACAGCTTTCACCAAGCAGAATTCAACTGTCGTTGAGTGACTTCTGACTATGCCTTTTGAATGAACTGTATAGATTCAAGAATATCAAAATTTTCTTTCCAAAACGTTTTTAATGTCATCGTTGAGGAAAACTGGCATGTTTCAAAACACCGACGAAACAGTGCTCGAATGTACAATTTTTTGAAACCTGCAATAACCTCTTGATCCATTGGTTGAATCAACGAAGTGGTATTCAGAGATAGAAACTGAACTGTCAGCCAGGGAAAGTCTTCCAGCAAATTATCTTCAAGGTCTTTTGGGTGTCCTGGTGCATTGTCCAATAGCAACAGTGCTTTTAATGGCAATTTATTGGTCTGAAGGTAATCTTTGATGCTTGGAGCACAAA